TTTCATCTATCATGTTTTTACGATCTAAAATTGTCTAGCAGTACAGAGTCTGACGCTTTTTCAGAGAGATGGCTGCGATATAAGCGCTCGCATATAAACCTTGATAAAATTTGTACAATGTTTATTGCAATTGCCGTTATAGTCGTTATAGTGTTGGTATTCGTTATATTTCTGGTACAGTTGCTCTAATTTTCGCAGTCGAATTCCACGAGAATCCAGCGTGTCCGAATTGCATCAGGAAATTCGGACTATTTCAAGAATCTTCACCCTTTACGAATCAAGCCATAAACAACTACTTAACTGTTCCGTTCTCGCGAATTTTCTTATGCAGTGCAATGTTAGTTATGTTTATTTGCTTCCGGTGTTTCTTCTAGCATGTTCTAAATACTTGATGATACTACGCATTTAGCTTACGTCGCAATGTTAACAGGGAGCACAGTAAGTCTTCGTATATGTGTTTTACAAGACTTTCTTCCACCTAACTTAACGGTCTTTTCGTTTTATTTTACACCAAGCTCAATTGCAGCGTTTACGTCCCTTTTATCTTTAATAGTTCTCGTATAAAATGATCTTTTTCCGTCCGGTCGAGAAAAGAGGATTTTGCGAGATTTTGAGCGCAGCAAGTTTAGCACAGAAACAAAATCTAGGAAAAGCTTATACATTTGTAGATATCTAAACAAAGATTTGCGTCCTTTCTCTATCTGCAAAGTAAACGATATACTAACAATTTGTGCTGTTTCTTATTCGTAAATTGTAACTTGTTTAATTGTTCCGTAAACTCATTAAATAGATGTCTTTAATGAAGTTTCCTGCTCACTGTGATATACTTGTTGCAACCGGCTGCGAAATTTAGATTTTCATGAAACAGTTTTCATAACGTGGCGACTTCTAATTTACTTGAGTTTTAAACGAATTTTTAAGTTACGAGGGCGCAAATGTTTTGTTTCTAGAATGAGAAAACTTATTTTTATATTCGTATTATATGACCAAGACTTGACTTTTGAAAATTTTATTTAAACGAATCTATCTACAGGCAAGATAATAGACAAAATCTATATATTTCGTTCATGCATACAATGATATGATGGTTGCACAGTTTCTTTGTTTGTTTAATAAAAGCTCGGTTATATCGATTTAATCGTATTAATTGTTGAAACGACCATCAAGTTTGTAATTCCTTTGAATAAACATTGCAGAATTCAAAAATCACTTATCAGTGTGATGAGAGAATTCGGTCATATAACAGCGCGATTTGCACAGGGACGCGAATGTCGCGCTGATATCGAAAGCGTCCCTTTTTTTTCGGCTCAACGAGAGATATTACATCGCATCGGCGAGTAAGCTGCGCTTGTCAACGTCCGAGTTCACGCCAATCATCGCTCCGTGCGGTTGATTGTTGAACATGAAATTTCATCGCCTCTTTCGAGTGCCTGCCTAGTCGTGCCGGTTCGTCGGCAAGTAATACACGTTCGTTCAATGCGCTCCGATGCGTTGACATTAAACATTTGCGGGCCATGCGTGCGCCTGAAAGCTGGTCCGCAAGAACTATATTGCGAATCATCGCTGTTCGTGTGCAGATTGTTAGTGGAGATCGTTTTCTCTATGTTCGCGGCTACCTGTTACATGCCTTTAATCATGTCACATTCTCATCCCGATGTTCTTTTCCAATGTTCGTATCGATGTATATCCCGGGCGATGTCGTGACATTTAACTACGTCCCGTAGGCGAGAAACTATAATGACCGCATTGTTGTGGGCGTGTAGTTATTTGAAGCAAGTATGGAGCGTTAAACCGCTGGACAAAAATTGATGCACGTAACACCCGAGTATTAGACACTGATTTCTAATAATAAGATATGGTAATACGAAATGTGAAATGCATGATATATATATCATAAACTAATTGAGAGTAACATTCAATTTAGTGTACCCTTTACGTGTTCTCCGTGTACATATAACTCCCTTCAGTAAATACCTGATTAATGATACACTCCACGTTCCTATTAATACCTCGACTTCGTACAGATGAGTTATTTTCAATCACTAGTAAAGTTAAACATCATTTGATACGATCTAGTGAGTTTCATTGAGAAATTTGTATATTGAAATCTATTTCTGTTTTTGTGGAATCTAGCAGTTATGTGAAAACGATGTGGGAGTTGTGCAAATAACACACGACTGATTATATTTATAGTGGAATTTAGAGTATTTATAAAAGTATTTTAGGGTTTTTTATTGGAATAAGTTCCTAGGCATCTTTTCGACGGATATATCAAAATCTCTCGCAAAGTCAGTTGTATTAACATTAGATCGACTGGATATCACACTTACATGAAAATTTCAGAAAGTCTGAGATCCAAGTAAAGCTTCACTCGATATATCTAAATGTGCTTTTTGAAAGGCATAATTTTTTTAGAACAGTCATTTTTTTATATATTTCAGAGTCTTTGTAATAAAATTCCTCAAACATGATTGCGTTATGTTCTCTTCAATGCAGCGATAAAATGCCTTGATAGTATAAAGTCGAGTCATTCTGGCGACTAAGATTTTCCGATATAGGGCCGACGTACATTATATCTCATCTAGAAGATGGAAAAAATTTATCGACAGAACACGTCAACATCACAGGTAATGCTGCTGCCAAAATACAGTTGGCACTTTCAAAAATATAAAATTGAATTATTGAGTTGAAAAATTATATAAATCATAGTAGAGGGATTTTTTTTTACACAATTATTTGCATAACCGTTGATACAATCACCCTTCGGGAGAATTGCATTCCGCACAGTAATTAAATGTATCGCGCTCGCGGTATAATATTACGTTCTGCGCTGCTTTCATTCACATAGTGAAAATCGCGCATACTGATGTTTTATTTCAAAAAACGAGTCCGCACTGTAATAAAGTTTTTGCGATCGAATATCAATATGAGTCGTGTAAGTTTAAAAGGATGCAATTAAATAACGCGATATGAGGTATCTAATTTAGAAGATACTAATTTCACAAAATAATGACCTTCCGGTATGCATTAAAATAATAATAACACTTTGAAATATTGATGAATATTCTCTTTCAGGAATTACAACACGATTTCGTTGCGAAATGTTCAATACCGCGTCGGATTTCCGACTATTCATTCAACACCCTATCGACTCCATTGAACATGTTATTTCGGATAAAATCCGCTCGCAATATATAATTTCACGTGTATAAAAAAATTTTTTTGCATGTTCGTTAGAAGCAGGTATGAATCGATATATTGCACCGCGATTTTCTGTGCTGCTACGGCGATGTTGTAGCAATGACAGATAATGAAAGCAAGTCGATTTTAATCCTGAAAACTGCACGTACGCGACGCTGAATCGTTTTTAATTAATAACGCGGACCATTGCAAGCTTGCAGTTTATAGAGGCGTGTCGCATAGTTGGTGACGATTAAATGCCATCCGCTCGAACGGAATGCGTTATTAAATACTTGTAACGCGTGCGCTTGAGTGCCGATCATAAATTGCATAATTATCGGTTCGCGCAATTGCATTGCGCTCTCAAAATTCGCGCTCCGTCACGCACTGTCAATTTTCATTATAGGATCGACGCGCATCACGATTTTCTCGATTGTACATTATTTCCAGTGGTTTGGTTTTCGCGGATACGCATGAGAACGAGAACTGATCGAGCTTATCGTATTTATTCGCGCTAATCGAAAGGTCACATTATGCGATAAAGTGATGTCGTATAATGATCACCGCATTCACGAATTATGTAAGCGCACTAGATTTACAGCAAATTCCAGTTTGATGAATTTAACAAGTGTGTGAAAAAGTTTATTTGCTTGCCATTCGCAATTACTGTTGAGAAATTAAAATTCTGGGTGTACGTTCCTAGTTTTCAATGCTAATTTTACCATTAGAGCGAATTAAGGCTTCCCAAAGTTTTCAAGCTAATAGCAGCGCGCGATGATGCATTAAAAAGTTTTCGGCATGCTAATGTAGCATTAATAATCCTTAGCTTTTTACTTCAAACGTGCGGTGTTTGTTAAATAAGTGTTATATAATTATTTCACTTGCAAAAGCATTAAAAATACCAAAAGTTAACTACAAATAATTAGAAAGACAAAGTGCAAAGTCGGATCGTTTGGTATTCTTCAAATGCAATTTATAAATGCAATTTAAATGCAATTTTTATTTTGCCTTCGTTGTACAGCTTTGTTCCTTTGAAAATAAATCAAGCTGGCTAAAAGCGTCCATCATTTTACCGGAGGCATAAAGCTGTTTAACTCGTGAGGAATTCGGCACTTTTACTCGTTTAAACTTAATCACATCTTAATAAAACGTTCAAATTCTATCTAGATTTCCGACGAAAAATAAATTCTTATTGAATTTCGAAGCGGCCATATTTGCTGAAAGTATAAAATGAACGATACTGCAAATATGGTCTGCAAATATCGCAAAGTAACGACCGCTATTTTTCGTCCGATTTGCGATGCCTTGCCAAGAAGTATGTATTAGAAAGTTCGTGCACGAAGTATATCACTTCTGCTGAGACATTTATTGCGAAAAGTATACTTATATTTTCGCCGTGAGAGAAAATATTGGAAACTGTGTTAACATAAAACTCGTCACTATTAAAAACCATCGTTTCTTCCTGCGCCTTTCTTATTGCACTATTAAACGCAGTTTCCTTGTTGACATAGAACAGTGACGTGAACGAAGCTGGTAGGTAGGTATTTGCGAAACGATAAAGGCCCGAACTTTGAAAACTACTGCCGTCAACATCGTCGCTAATGGACGTTAACACAGAGAGGGGTGAGATTTTCTAGCACATTGCGGCTGATCTTGTGGTTAACATTCTCCACTTTGCACTTTATCTCTCTCTTTCTCTCTTTTTCTCTCTCTCTCTCTCTCACTCTCACTCTTTCTTCTTTTCTTTCAAAGATTTAAAGTACTTTCTCGCTTTGCCGCATATGCGGGCATACAACACTTGAAAACAATTAAAAACTCACCGGGAATTAAACGGGAGAAGGGAGATCGTGCCGTGTATCTGCGATTTCTGCTATTTCCCGCGTCGCACACGTATCCTGTGTGTATAACGTCCGGGTAGAGTGGTGTATGCAACAGGATTTAAGGGATGGACGATCGCAACGGGCTGCGCGCCTCTACGATACTGGCCGGCTGTCTGGCAGCACTCGCTTGGCGACGCTAGCAGAGCCAGAGCGCGTACTCCAGACGCCGACCTATCGCGGCCCATCGCCCAAACGGGATCCGATCCAAGGTTTTTCACCACCAACAGCCTATATCTCGACGTGGTGAAAACTGCCATAATGTAATTTGCGACTCGCAACTCTGTAAGAAACGCGTAATGTAATTTACATCTTTTCCAAATAGCTTCGACATAAATATTTTACAGTGAAACTTTGTATCATATTGGAATGAGTTCAGGTGAAAATAAAGAAATATTTAAAGAGACATTTCTCATTCGTGTACATTAAAACTTTTCGTTTTCATAGACAAACTATTATTTGTAACGCGATGTAAATCTACATCACACGCAGTGCTTGCATTTATCGACAACTATTTATGTGTCGTATAATTACACCTTAATTTTCGATAATTTTTGTAGAAAAAGTATTTCCAATATTTCACATTTTGAAGGATCGATTGAAACATTATTGGCAGAGACAGTATTAACTGATCAAACTGCAGATATATTGAAAATTGCAAATGAATAGAAAAATTGTATTTATTTAACACTTTCACTGCCAATTAATATTTTAAATGGATATTCTATATGCGCTTTTTATTTATACATAATTTAATAGATAAATATCATCCTTTGAAAACTGCACATACGCAAATATATATAAGATACTTATGCAAATAAATCCGATATTAGCTCGGATTCTTGTGTAAGAAGTCGCGGTTTGGCGGTGTAAGTATTGAGTTTTAAATTGCAACTGTCATCCGTTTCACAATGTGGATTTCATAACTATATGTTGTTTGATTGCTTGCGACAATTTCTCATTCATATGCATTAAAACTATACGTATTACTTTCTTCTCCTGTCTATCACTCAATTTTACGTCGGAATTCAATCACGAGTTTGCCGATTGGACGTATGCGTTTTATTCGCTTTTCGGCTGCTGCGGGATATCAATCATTCAGTCAACAATTTTTATCTATCAAAGTTGCTTTGTATGAGGAACAAAAACCATTCCTATTGTATTTTGAGATGAATAAGATATTCCTTAATGTTCTATCTTAACTCAGCAAAATAAGAGCTTCTGATTTATCAGCTAAATTCTTCATTTCACTATTTGTGAACAATGTTTGCGAGACTTTCTATAATCAAAATTACAGAACTTTATAAAAATTAGGCTCATTTTAAAATTATTATACATTAACGTTTGGTAGTGCTGACAAGTAAATTCAAGAACCATTTAAGAGACATATTAGAGTATTATTGGTGAATCGCATTTTCTGAAAAAATTGGTCCATTTCTACGATACGAGCGATACGAGAAATATTGTCTTCAAACGCTCATGTAATCGAGAAAAAGTGCCGGCCATAATTCAATATCGATCTCAAGCAGAAGATGTGTTTCTGATTTATTACATGAGAGAAAAAGATAAAATAAAAGGATAAATATAAAGATAAAAGATAAAATTCTATTTTATCTTATAGAGAAATAAGATTCTTATTTTAACACAATATACGAATCTTTGAAAACGTGTTGATTTCAAAATAGATTAAGATTAATAATCCTCTAAATTGATGTGTGTTACGTTATACAAGAATTGTCACACAGTTTTTATCATACACACCGACTGAAATTTAGTTGCAAAATTCGATGGTAGATTCGGACGGAATAAAAACGTGATGTACGTGAATCGACGGTAATTACGCGCGACACACGCGTTTCATAACGATTCATTATTTTACGAAATAGCACGGCTTTTAATGGCTCTGCGATTCCGGCATACGCATAATGAAAACGGGATATAGATAGGAATGAAATTATATATATGTCGCGATTTGTTTTAAAGGATTAAAAAGTGGATTAAAAAATGTAATATCTGTAATATAAAAATATTTGTCGAATGATATCTTCGAAGAATTCTTAAAATATTTCACATACATTTTTATATGTGCATTTTATGTATGCATAGTGTATCAACGGGATGATCTGTGCAACTGACTACACTTCTGTCGAATATTGTCATCACGTAGCAGAACGTATAACAGTATTTATTGATCCATTATCTAATAGAAACAATAGAACCGGTGATGTGGCTTCCATCTCATTGTGTTACTATAAGCGCAATTTTAGTCACCGGACATTTAATATTAACTTAAAGTTCCGAATACGTTTCTATAGCGCAAGTATAGTTTGAGAATTGATATCTCATATTTTTTCATTGCAAAACGTATAATTAAATAGATTTCTAAAAATTGAAAGTTTTATCCAGTTTTTTTTCAACGTTAGTAAATCTTACAAATAATATTTTAATCTATTGAAGAATTTTTTGAGATGTTTAATAGTAATCGTCATGTCTTAATAATGACATTCAATAAATAATATAAGAAAATTTCTAACAATTAAAAAAGATAATCTGCTTCGATAAAAATATCGAAGCATTTACGCATACAAGCATCTGTTTTATTTAGGATAAAAAATATTCAAAAATATTAATCTGTATAATAGAAATGTATAATATATAAAATGCAATGAAAAGAAAGAAAGAAAAAAAGAGAAAAATAGCAATATAATATCACATTTAACGTATATTATTTAAAATATAGCTGAAACAACAAATGCAGAACGAATAAAACAGACATTCATATTTATTTCTCGTTATTTTCTCTTCTCTTATTCCTGATACTATTTCACGTTTTTCACTTTTTTATGTCACACGCATCGTTGTAAATGTGTGTGTGTATGTGTGTGTGTGTGTGTGTGCATACATGCGTACATACACACATACACACATACCACATACACGCGCGCGCGCGCACCTGTGTTCTCTTTTTTTTTTAAATGAGTAACTTAAATGACAGATCACATGTGACGAGATGGATCTCATGGAACGGTAGTCGCGGAATATTTTCGTTTTTTAGTCGTATGCTCTAATTGCACGGATAATCGAATTGGGGAAAAAAAGTATGGTCGGGATTACCGATCGACGTGTTGCAGACGCGATGATTGAAATATTTTCAATTACTTATGCACACAGCGCTTTCAATTGTCACTTTGACCGAATGAACTGTTCAGCCAATTACAGAGCGGATGCAATATTGAAATGGCACGATACAAGCACATGCGTTAAATAGAAAACAAAAAAAATAAGAGAAATAAGTAATAAATAAAAATACATTGTAAGTTAGAGTAAATGTAAATAGGTGGAGATGGAAACCCTAAGGGGAGAATAAAGAATACATACATAATAAATAAAAATACATAAATAATTTTCTTCTTAAATAAAGCCTATTATTAATATATAATACACGCATACGTTTAACATAAAAATGTTGTTTAATAAAATTAATAAATATTATTTAATGAAAAATTAGCTAAAAATTGCTCAGTTTTTATCTCGTATTAAAAACCGTTGATTAAATCTCAGAATATTGTATTTATCATCATATAGTAAAATTGTGCTGCGCATCAAGTTTAAAAAATGATAATAATTGTAATATGATAATAGTAAATGTGATAATAGTTAAAAAAATTAAAATTTATCTTAATATATAATTTGGATATTAATCGTATCTTGTAGATATGTTTACTTAATTTAAAATTTTTTAGTACAGTCTTTGTAAGGCATTAATGTTGATGCCAAACATAAGTATCAAAATATCAATATGTGTAATTGTTAAAAGAAACATAAATAAACGATTACTTGATAAAAAATATTCAAAAATATAAATAAATGAAATAAACATTTCACGTTAATAGTTTCTTGAACTTATTCTTTACAGGACTTTCTGTAATTAAAATTATAATCTCTATAATTTGAGAAATTTTAAGTTAGGCTAAAACCTAGCTAGACCTAACTAACCTAAAAAAATATGTTTGTAATAGTAGTAATTTCATAATACTTTTTGGTTTATTTAGAAAGAGAAGTATATTAATATGAAATTACCCAGACAGCATATCATATCTAAAAGACGTCCAAAGGATATCCCAAAGACGTTTTTGGAACGACAGGACGTCCTCTGGATATCCTTTGGATGTATTTTGAACATGTGTGCTGTCTAGATATTTTCTCTCAAATAACGGCTACTTATTATTTTGCAGAGATAATGGTTGCGTTCCGATATTCACTGCCATTGTAAAATAGATTTCAACATTGTTATTGAATATTGGAACGCAGCCGATGTGGAGCACAAACGTATAGTATCGCAGAAATTTGAAATCTTAGGACTGTGGAAATAATATTTATAAAATTTGAAAAACAACATCATAACCTATATTGGATTAGTGGTGAGATTTCTTGCTTTGCAAGTAAGAATCTTGAAATCTCATTGCTGTATTAGACACATTCGTAAATCGGTGCGCGGCTGACAATAATTATTTTATTAAAGGAGTTAATTTCAATTTTGTACTTACTTGATGATACTCCGTATAAGTCAGTTATTCAAGAATAAATAATTCTGCGTTTACTAGAATTGCTAAGAATCGCCAATAAAGTTTCTTCGAATTCGTTGCAAATTTCCTATGCGAAAATGGCTGAAGATGGCAAAGATATATAACCGGCGAGTCCACGAACTCGCGACTTGATTTGATAGGAATCCAAGTGATCCCGATATAGGGCGGAACTAGCCGACTAGTGACTTTTCTAGTTCCATTGTGATATTTTCAAGGTACATGTAGCAACAAAATAAATGTACCATTTAAGGCTCCTGGTCCCGTAGCCGTGAACTCCGCGTTGACAGTGGCGACATAATTGTGGTAGGAATAAAAACCTAGTCGAATTTACCTAGTCGATTTATTGTATAAGTAAATAGTGTAACAGTTTGACCTAATCAATTGATACGATAAAAGTAAATTACTGAATAACATACAAAATGCTAATTTATAATTCAAAAATTTGTTTACAAAAAAATAAACGCGATAAATACAGAATATATATAGCTTAGTACCGTTACCGACATGTCCATATGACAGAAATTCTCATGCAGCGTCTTAGGTGGAGAATCGATGAACTATTAGACGTGAAAAAATGACATGTTGACTACCCAATTTATTCTTGCGTGCCATTTCGTTAATATTCGTTAAATGTTAGTGCTGTGATATGTGACGTGTTCATGAAACCTGTAAAATTATCCGAAAACTGAGATTAGCAGGGAAAGCCCAACGTAGAAGGAGTATTTTCTACTCATACAAACAGCTGTCAACCGTGTGTTTTCTCGCATAATTAGGCTTCGCTTCACGGTTGATTTAACGATTGTTTATAACCTGTCAAGGAAAAAGCATAGTTTTCGGACAATTTTACAGGTGTCTTAAAGCGATCTAGAGTGTTACTTTGTTAAATTATCATTTTATTTAGAAATGGCACGCAAGAATTCTCGGCGTGTCATTTCTCGCTTCTGACGTCACGAATCTAATATGGCTGCGGTGACTACCCAGGAGCCTTAACATTATCTTTATTTTAAAACTGATTTTATTTTAGAATATTCTTTATTCATTATACTGTTTCATTACAATTTGCAATACATAAAAAAAGGATTTATTACACTTGAACAATAGACTTAACAATAAAAATATTTACTTATATATATTTATACAAGTATATATTATACTTGACAATAGAAATATTTATTTATATATTTATAAGTATTTATAATGCAATATTCTATTTTAAAAATTATTAAAATAGTTATAAAAAATATTAAGCTATATTAAGCTAATTTTTTGTTTCTCTATTATATAGAAAAAATATATATTTTATATTTTGATTATGATATATAAAAATTATTTTTTTTTAAATTAACATTGTCTAATTTTCTTTAGTGAAATACATGGAATCCAAAAAGTATCTTGTAAGATCGCTCACAATGCTTCTGTCTGAGACACTTTGACTCGTTCCATACATTGCAAGCTGAAAAATATTACCCGATTAATAAAAAAATCCTATTTGTAATTATAAAATAAAATAATCCTATTTGTAATTATAAAATTGCCCAAGAGCAGTAGAATATATTAACAAGGGAAAAACTAGAAAAGATTGAAAAAAAGAATGTAAATCGTACGATAATCATCACTGTAAGTAATTTTACATCATCGTAATATGTATTTGCTGTTTTTACCTTGCCTTCTACTGGAATATTTGGGGTCTTCAAGATCGTTTCTAGTTCAAACTTAACGTCCTCTATGAATGAATCAGCTACTCCTGGCTCAGTATGCATATATGTAACACATATATGTATACCAGAAGGAAATTGCAATGTATTCAAGTTCCAGCCTTTGGCACTAAGGGCTTCCGAAAGTCTGTAGATATGAAATTTATTGGAACCTATCGCGATAACAGAAGTAGCTGGTGTACCAAACACAAAAATTCCATTCATTTCCCGTAACCTATTAAAAAAAAAAAGTATATATTTTTGTATGTATTGTGAGAATTTTTAATCAATTATCGTGTAAAAATATATTCAAAATAAATACTTTTGTTCGATATATTTGGTAGTTTCTATAATTTTCTTCGTGGACGCCACATATTCATTATATCCAAAATACATCATTGTTGCCCAGCAAGTTGCGATATTGGCACCAACTCGAGAACCATTTATGGTAGGAGAACCATAAATGCCACCAGGCCAATCTGTGCTTACTGTATATTGATAATGTCGATACTTCTTATTTCTATAAAGAATTAGTGAAGATCCTTTTGGGGTATACGCGTACTGAAAAAGGATCGTTATTATAGAATCATGCGTCTACTATCATACTATTTCTTATATCAGATATTAATACAGCGCAGATAGATACCTTGTGTGTATCAGCAGATATGCTGATCACCCCAGGAAGCCTAAAGTCAAAGGGTGATATATGATAACCAGCATCAGGCATGAAACAAGTTAGAAAACCACCCAGACAAGCATCTACATGAACAGGTATGTTATATGTTATACCTAATTCAGAAATTGCTTCAATGTTATCCATTGTTCCATAGGGAAAATTTGGTGCAGAGCCTACTAACTATAAAAAATTTTTACACTCAAGTAAGCTTGTGGTATAAATTTGTACAATTATATTAGGTTACCATTATTGTATTTCTTGTAATTAATTTTTTCATAGCTGGAATGGAAACTGCAAAACTATGCGGATTCACAGGTACATAATGTACTTTTATATTGAAGTACTGTGCAGCTTTGTCAAACGCTGCATGAGCAGTAATTGGAATCACCATTTCTGGCTTTTTGATGCCTTTAATTTCACGAGCATAGTCTCTAAATGTTTTACATGCTAATAAAATAGACTCTGTGCCTCCTGTAGTCATCTAAAATGTACATTGCAAAAATCACATTAAATCTATAATTTTTATAAACTTTAAAAATAATGATAAAGCTACTTGCAGTTCCACAAGTTGTATCTTCTCCATGAAATAAGTGACAGGCTATCCTAACGACTTCTGCTTCCATTTTACAAATTCCAGGAAAAACATCTGGATGTAAGGGATTAGTATAAGATGCAATTGAGTAAATTTTTCCTACAAGTTCTAGCAACTCACTATCATGTCTATAAACTGTACCAGATACACGACCTGATTTCCAGTTATAATCACCTAAAAAAAAAAAAAAATTAGACAAATTAAAAATTGTGTGAGATAGTTTTAAAGGTATTTATTTGGTTGGTTAAAATATTGTAGCATTTACTAAGAGAAACTAGTAATATTAATTAATTTTACCTAAGTAAACAGATTGGTTTACTAAATCTAATATTCTTTTATCTTTTAGACCATTTTCAGGAAGATGAACAATAAATGGTATTTCTTTCAATCTTTGTAAAACATCCTTTTCGAAGATTTCATTAACATCATTCAGTTCCTTATCTATTTTGTTACGAATATAAGGAACATAACGAGCTAATTTGAACAGCTGTTTCTTTCCACGTTTCACAAGACCTATATAACATATACAATATACATATACATATGTAAAAACATCTACATTTAAAAAAACTAAAGTAATAATAATAAAATATAAATATTATATCAAATATATAAATATAATATTAAAATACTTACTTTCATCCTGATGAATAAAATTCCATAGCCATACCATAGCGAGTGTAGTAGAGCTTGTCATAGCTACTATTTGCCATGGCTCTTTATTTGGAAATGCATTATTTACAAGTTTTGGTATATTATCCACATAGCACAAATGCATTTTTCCTAAAAGAAAAAAGAACGAATGTTATATTGAGAATGAATAAATATTGTAATATAAAATCATACTATTGTTAGTATGTGTTGTATGCTAAAAAATAACATATTGTCAACATTATGTGCGCCTAGCATATTGTTAAACTACAAAATATATGCCTAACACTTTGCTAAATAAATTTCTCAGACAACAGGCAAATCTTAAAGACATGTGAAAGACGTCCAAAAAATGGCATTTTTTTCCTGACATTTTTTGGACGTCTTTCAAATATCTCATTTGTGTGTTGTTTGAGTTTTGTAAATGTAACATATCATTTAATTTCACGCCTACTTAGCACTGTGTGATAACAATTTACTTTTAATAGCACATATTGTAATTTTTGTCAAGTAATTATGATAGTAAAATGATTCGACAATATTTCAAGGTAATTTGTAAGATAACACTGCGATAAACAATACACTTTAATGATTGTTGAGTCAACATATTAGCACTAACCTCACAAACTAACTCAGATATTATGAAACACTGCTGCGATCACCACCACCAACCCGCTAGCTTCTTACTGGAGTACTGGACAGCGCTAGAGTCTGATCTGAAGTGTGCTTGAAGAAAAATCTGTTCAGCGCCTAGCACCTAGCGCCCTCCCGGCAAGAATACAGCTGCATAAGAAGTAGTCCTGACGTGACGGATGCTCTCATAATAAAAAAACAAGTTATTTATGCAAAAAGATTGAAAAATTGCAGTCACTACAATCATGGATCCTATAAAATATTGAGAAATTGACACAAAATCTCTCAAGGATACATAAATATATGACATCAATTCTATAAAAAGGTATATTAATACGATGACACAGCATGTATTAGAGATATTCGAACTTATCGCATTTTTTTTTATCTCTGTTGAACAGATATCTTATAAACATATATTTTAAGAAAAGTAATATCTTTTATATTATTAAAAATAATACAGGTAAAAATTTAATTAGCAGTAAATGAATCATACATTTATATTTACGCGTAATATTTCCTCCTTTATTTACAAAGTCGATAATCGTTAATGTGTTCGGTAACAAAATTACATTGCACATATACAGAATTATCGTTAGCTCTAAGGCAAGAACTGAATTAACAATATATTATTCGTACAAGAAAAACCGTTCCAATACAATATGTGGAATCGTCTCCTTATAATATACTCAGTCGTAAGAGATTTATACATATAGCGTTTCCTTTTTTTAAGCACAACTTTAACGTTACATTAATAAAGAGAAAAACGAAGCATCTAACGTAAAGGAGAGGATTAACATATCTAGATTAACATGAGCTAGGCCGAACATTTTGGAGCTCAGTCACGTCTTAGGTGTTCACTCTGCAGAAAGTGGTTGAAAAAAAAATAGAATTAGCAAAGATCCAGAGACTATTTACTTGTAAATCTTGATCTTCCTTCTTAGACACATATCTTGGAAAATGTATGGCCTGAATGCAAATGTGTGGAAATACGCGTGAAAACAAAGTCTCTCAAACTCTCTGAAACGGGAATATAGGTTTTTGAACTATTACATCGATCGTTGAAACTCGTCGAGTATTAATCTCGTATGTTAAATAGGCGATTTCGTCAAATGCAAATGTAGGCACTCTATTCAATGGCGTTGAAGCATCGCGCGATCCTACAATGCGCTAAAATTCTCGAAGATTACAAAAAAAGTACGTGATTTTTTAAATTTTATTTTATGTGTACGGATAATCACAGCATCGATTATTTGACTAGAAAATCGTTCTCGCGCGTTGTTTTATACAATAATCTCCAAAGATAACGACCCATTTCTCAAGGATTAGTGATCCATATTTTTTCGGCAAAATTTAGTTTTAATAGTAGGGCAAATTAAAATAAATTTAAAACTGTTTAAGAGCCCACACAGCACGCATATCTAAAAGCGGTACAAAATCAACTTGCGGTACAAAAAGTTGATCTGAATTAGACCAATTAAAAGTGTCATTTTTATAATTTTGTATGCAAATATGTAAGAGTTTTATTTTTATATGTGTACTTAACATCTTTTACTCTGCAATAGCATTCTTACTGCAATATCATTAAATCTCGATATCTCCCATACAGCATGTATCCGGTGGACGTTCAGAAGATATCCCGAAGATATCGTATCTCTCAAAGATATCTTCGAAATGTCTTCTGGACATCTTTTGATTACGGATATGTGTGCTGTGTGGGGAGTTTTATATTCTTTATCATTTTTTTTTACTGTTTATATATACTTTGGACCTTATGATTGTATTTCTATCGGGTCGCTGTTGATTTGCTCCATTTCTCAAACCACATTTTACTAAAAAAAAAAAGCTTTAGATCGCTAAATCCTTAAGAAATGAAGCAAGCTCTTTACGCAATGTGCATACGTATTTTTATGTGAATCCCGTTGTACGCGAATAAATTTCAATTATACGTGAATTGTTCTAATATGCATAAAACTTGTGTGTAAATCCGAGAGAATACTGTTTGGGGAGGCCTTAACACGATAATGTAACATTATGTTTAATCGCGTGACTCAAATCCGCTTTGCTCGGCTGAGCCGAAGGGAGATGCGACGTTCTCACAACAAATGAGATATGTTCGATCGGAATTGCATGGCGGAATGAGATGCTAATCGATTGATGTAACACGAAATTGATGCTGAGTTATCCTTCAGTCGCACGCGCGTTTTATTTTCTGAATACATGATTTCAAGTAATTCATATTCAAATATGATTTTTGCTCTTCTATCTTTTTTATTTAAAAGAAAAGAAGAGTATATTATGCTTGTTATATCATTTTGCAATCAATAGTATTTAAAAGTTAGCAGCTATGTGAGAACTCTATATCACTCATTTTTATAATTGTATTAGGAAACATTGTTTTTTTAATAAATGCATTCCGCGCTCGCGAATGAAAGAGAAATCTGCACTCGGAATACAAAATTCTTCGCCCTATCATTACGAATAATTCGCGAACTCATACTTGATTAATGACTACTCCGTTTAATATCAGAAATTTCACGATTTCAGAAAATCCCATTACGTGATAATATATTTAAATTTTGACCTCAAACTTAATCGTATGCGTGCATGAGTTCGCGATTCGCATTGCGATATTATGCTAAAGTAGCACTCAACGTTACAATTATTTGCTGCGGCTTACGAACGGGAATGGATAATACTAAGGACGACTAGAAAACGAATTAATCGTACGACCTACCGTTCTGTACTTCGACGATTAGTGCGAATATCCGACGAAAGGTTCTACGGTTCTCGTTTGTGAGTGTAGGATGTCTCGAACACAGAATATGAATGCAGTGTAACTTTGAAGTGTAAATTCGAAACGTACAACTCGGCGGTGTAAAGACATTTAAAACTGCGTATTCATCCGACAGCTTCTGTTTGTGAGCATTCGTCCCGACTCAGCGCCGAGTCACGAGCGAATCAGTAGCGAATACGCAATTTAAATCTCGATTAGCACCGTCGATGTTCGTAGAGCGACATGCGTGATTTCAGTGATTCTAGTGATTAATACGCGATGTAAACACGTCATCACGATGTAGACATGATGTTGTGAGAAAATATGATCCTATATTTTGTATAATTCAAGGTCCAGGCGCAGAGTCGCAAATGTCGAAAAAAAATCTCAAAAAAATCTATTTTACATGATTCGAGAGTTTTACCTTGCCGCGAATTTGCATGAAAGAAAAATGTGGCGTAATCTGTAAGTAGACCTTGACTCTCCGTATTCAGAAATTTTTACAGTGATCGGTGAGGTTCGCATTTTATCGATGATTTGTATGCACGTATAGTATACGTAACGCTGGGCATCGATAATGTCTTACATTTGTAATTTAGGATTTTCGCTTTGGATTTGCTCTACTAATTATTAGCTTTTCAATCAATCAATGAAGTATTTAAATAGCTGTGAACTTTTTAATCAACATTCGAAAGTGTAAGACATTAATAATGCCATGTGTATATACATATGGCAATGCAGAATGATGTGATTTACATTGCATATTAATCTGTGCAGAATCTCACGTCGGATTTTTATTATTTCGGGCGCCCCGGTGACGGAAACTTGACATGGCAAATTTTTCGCCAGCAGCAGCACTTTGTGCCACATAGGCCTGATATCGATCGCGATTCGCGATATCGGTCGCTTTCGAAACCGACGAAGTGAGCACCACGGTTTAAGTCGTGCGACTCGGGTTAAGTACTACAAACGACGGTTATCTCGATGCATACGTTCGCATACACGTACTTTCGCTCTGACCTTTCCATCTTTCTCAGTAGAAATAAGTCTGTCCTGTTATCATTAATGGCGAAGACCATTACAGGCCGGACGTCAAAAATGTTACGTTACTATTGTTACTCTTATTATCGTTATTATTATCGTTATCATTATTATGTTATTTTCATCATACGCATTAAGAAACATTTAATTGAACAACATGAAACTCTCGTCCGTGCGTACGAATCTGTTGATATATATATATATATGTATATATATAGTATATGTATATAAAATTCGAATACACATTCGGCGGAGACCGCAAAAATGAACGAGGTGTACCTTCAACAGCGTCACTAGACTCCAACGTGTCGCATAAACTATACAAAATGAGCGCTCGAAGTTGGGAGAAACGAAATATTTTGGACGGTACGACGGAAAAGCGTTTAACGAAAACATTACATAGCTGCCGCAAAATTTTTGTGTTCCACTCAAATTCAAATCGCTCGCAACTGCACTCGCGAATTAGCATATATATTTCATCAATTTGCACATTGCCCGAAAAATGCGCGATTTATCCGTTCTTGCCAATCTCTACATGATCCTTTATGGCCGTGATAAAATCGACGTATATTTTTAGGAATTACACGAGTCGCTCGACTATTATCATTAGCAATAATTTATTGATGGACTGTCTTGGATAATTCGCGAATCGGCGAACGGAGCTTCGCGATCTTGACAATCGAAAGTCGTGTAAATTTCTTATCAGAGAACTGTTCATTAGAGATCGAACTTGTCCGATTTCTCGATCCTTTTAACACGGCTCTCAAATACAAATGTCTTGCAGCCTTATTATTTCCACTGTGCAACTTATAATTAGACGTGTTGGAGAGTGACAGTTACTTAAGCCGTTGCGTGACATTTGCCAGAGCGACGGCGAACGCTTGCAAAGCGCTGAACGGATATTGAAAGTCCAACGTGTACGCGTTGCCATCTATTCTTCCAAATTGCATCACCTGTAATTTTGCGACATTTTACGCGTGCAATTTGACTGGAATATTTTAATCTCTAAAGAAACGCATTTTCCCGATCTTACCTGTCTACCCCTGAATTCGATCTGAAAATTCTTGGCGCTTTCCTGAGTTACTCTGCCACCGAAATCGAGCTGATACACTTGACTGGATTCGTTCCACATGGGTGCTTTATTCTGCATCACCAGCTGCGCATCGCGCCTTATCGTTTCCGGTTTCGAACCGGATATACCTGCTCCTCTTTGCTTCAGCTGTAAATAACGCCCATATTGATATCGTTTTCTCGCGCTTTTTTTCCAAAGGAGTACATGTTTATCGAATATACTCTTTTTTTCGAAACTGAAAATGTTTGGCGACACAAACCTTTTGGCGGAGTTGCGCTTTCTGAAACGTTTCCAGATCTCGATAACTCGTCGTCGACGAGGAATCGTCTTGAAGAAGTCCCTCCTCGTCCGAGCTTTCACCGCGGCTCTTTCTCATTCTTCTGCTCAACAACGGACTCGACAAGAGCCTTCTTCGTATCGGAGAGGCTGACGCCGGCCTTTTGCCTTTCTTGGATGGCGCCGGGCTGCTGGGCGAACTCCTCGGCAGCCTGTCGTTGAACGGATACAAGTAAATCTCTAACGATCCGCGCGCGCAGTCAATGATATAATATGTATACTACCTCGATGATGGTCGGGGTGAAGGAGGTGGCAAAGAATGACTGTCGTCGAAATCTCGAAGTCTCGCGGCGAGACCGTCGAGCGACGAAGCGAAAGATCCACTCGGGCTCGATCCTCTGAAATATAATCAGCTTTTTACTTAGAATCGTTTGATGTGCAATTTTTCTATCAATATACAACGATTTACTTTTAAATTGATTACGCACTTTACGGGAGATGCAGCCGCTTCCAGTCGACTCGACGTCTCTCTATGAGTTTCATAAGCGACGTGCTCGTTACTTTCCTCGCGTTTGTCGACAATCTCGCTTCTCGTTACATTCTTCGGCGATTCCGTCGATTCGCTGTACTTTGCCGTGTTCTCCTCAGCAATCTCGGAATTGATTAATCCCGTCGCTTCCTCTACGTGTTCCGGCAATTGCGGCGGGAAGGCTATCTGCTCGTTACTCGGGAAGATATCGCTAGAATCGAGACTCTTGGACTTGCCGCAGTTGCGGAGCCTGGGCGGTTTAGAATTCGGCTGGCTCACTTCGTGCTGAGGCTTATTTCTTTTTCGCCGTTTCGTTTTACGCGACACCAGCACCAGTCTCTTGTTTGGCGCGTCTCTCCGCAGCATCCGTAGGGCTACGTCGCACGGAACCAATTGGGCATCCACCAGATCCAGATATCCGACGCTGCAGCTCCGAACTATCGAATCACTCGAGCACATCGGACCGATGCTGATCACCGTCGAGGTTCTGTGAACACCGCACGATTGTTCCAGCATCTCTGCGTTTTCGCGGCTCTCCTCGTCGCTGAATCGCATGAGATCGTCTTCGGGCTTGGTATTAGTAGGCGACTCGGCGTTTACGTAACCGGGATTTGTCTTACCACGGCACACGTGACACTTGGGATCCTTATGCTTCGAAAGACATTGCGAACACGCCGAAGCAAAACACTGATCGATATTCTCCGGGAATTGATAGGAACACGCCGGCGAGACTGTTCCGTGTACGCCGTTCTTATTAAGCAGACTCGAAGCTTGCCCGAGCTGAGAATTATTCGAAGGCGGTGTCGCATTGGAACTCGCCGCATTCGCCCCGGTATTTTGATTATTCTTACTATGTACAAAATTCTGAGCGCTCTGCGACGTCGCGGTTTGGACGCCACTAACCACGGCGTACGTCATATTATTTAGACCATTCATGTATACAGTTTGCGTAGCGGCGTAATCGGTATTTTCCAAACCATTGACAATCGGGGTTTGCGAGATATATCGACTGCTTGACGCCTCCGCGTTCAGCGTCTGGCCGTTTTGCATAGAAATGATATTCGTTGGGCCGGTGGATGCCAAGTTCGGCTTGTCGTCCTGCGAGATCTGATTGAGCTTATTGTTTTCCAGTTCTTTCTTCGTCGCTTGCTGATCCGCGAGCACGTTCTTCATCCTCTGAATGCTATTGGCGTAATCTGCGCCCGCATTCGATGTTGCTATTAACGTTTGCGTGGGCGCTACCGCGTTTTTCGGCGACTGCAAAGCCGGCACGTCGCAGCATCTCGGTGGATTGTGCCGCGGCGGCGTACGATAGGTATTTGTCGGCGCGTTTCTAATATTTTCGTACAGATTACCCATGTCTTGCAGATCCATATACGGGACATACTCGCTCTCGTAGTTTTCGATCTTCCCCAGCGACGGAGGCAGAGCCTCCGTCGCCAAAAACTGATTTGAGATCTGAGATTTTGGTCGATTCGGATGATTCAGCCGAGCATTACGAGGGGTCATCGGTGCGATCGGCGGCGGTTGCGTTTCCGGCGTGGTCCGTGAACTCGCTTCTTGATACGACTCTTCTTCGTCTTCGGAGAACAGATTGGGATTGAACGTCGGATCTGGACCTGTGAAAATCATATTTACGTATGAGCTTGTATGTAAAATAAAATCGTGTAGTTGAATTAATATATCGAATTACCCGAGGGCAAATCATCCCGAAGCTCCGTCATCACGAGCGTCATTTGCCTCGGTTGTAAGTGCAGTAACGACGTACGATAGGTCACCTGACCTAGGTTAGCGGGTATCGAATCAGCCAAGCCGTGAAACTTGAATTTCGTGCCCCAGATATTGGACGTTACCTCGACCAGTCTCGCGTGCTGCGAACAGATATGCTACGTCAGAAATCCTTATCGATAACACACAGTCGTGCCCGTCGGTCACGCGAATAGCGCTCCTCTGGGATACATAGGCCGCGTTGAAGTTCGCACGCAATTTATTCGTAATAAAATACGATGCACTTTACAAGTTAATACGAGAGAGAGAGATTGCATTACTTCCGGTAAAGTATCCACGTATGTGAGATCGTTCGTCCTTTCGTCACGTTCCGCCGTTTCGTCGCTCGATCTCTCCTCCCGGCGTTTTCTGTTCTTTTTCCTATATCGCGGCGATCCGCACAAATCCGCGGTGTCCTTCTCGGTGTCCGAGCCGTCGCTATACGACGGGCACTGCGACGTATCGTCGAACAGCTGCAGCGCCTCCTGATTTTGTGGATCGAATATTACGAATTCGGGCCGAATCTTGCTGGTACGTCGGCCCTTGAGAAGTGGCACGAGACCGCCTAGGTATTCCAGGTACAACGTGTAACACGGTACGGGTTCATCGGCATGTCTAAGCATGGTGCAGTGCAAGCGGCTGCCTCCCGGCGGTGGTCTTGATACGAAGCGTCGCAGTTCTCTCGGTTCTGGTACGGAACATCTGACAAAAATACACAAAAGCATATTCGGATTTATATCGTGTTTCTTCGCGTCAACGAAACGGCACTCCGACCATTTTCGGTCCAAGAGTCGTAGAAACGTTTTTTACCGTATTGTGTTGGCGAAGAGAGCGGCTACCGAAGCTCTTAATCGCGGCGGTAATGGAAGTTGTTGAACACTGGATTCCCTCGTGAGAGCCGCTCTCACCGCCAGTCTCGACAATAACTGAAGCGAACCGACTCTTCTGCAAACACAAACAATACTTGCTTCATTGTGTTTTTTGGTGTGCATTATTCCGATGAAAACAAATAGTGTCGGTATTATCTCTGCTTTTAGACAAACACGAGTACGAGTCGGAAGAAGGACTCACCTGGAGACCCATGCTGCATGGACGCGCGCTCCAGTCGCTACGAATAGCCGTCTATCGTTGTGTCCCCATGTCAACGCCGATACAGGACACTAGCGTGGACCGTGAAGGAAATTGTAAGGTAAATAATCACAGTAACGTATCTGATAATGACGAGTATTCCTATCTACATGCACGTACTTGCGTGTACGGAATTTCCGTCGTGTACACGAGAGTACCATGGACCGAATAAAATTTGAGAAGATTCGTGTACTCTTGCGGATTGCTCGGATGAACGTCAGACTCCTTCGTGCCGGCGATAGCGAGTAATTTCCTCGAGTTGCTCCATTCGGCGTGCAACGGCGGTTTTAGATTGCTGCGTATTGTAATAGGCGACACATCGTCAAACGATCGTAACATGACGATGTTGCCATCGGCGAGACAAACGGCCAGTACGTAATTTCGGTCATCTGTGCTTGCACAATACATCGTAAATGCATTAATACGCCCCGTTCACGCTCTTGTCGACCGCGATTCATTTATTTCAAACTCGTTCTTAAGAGCTGCGATTAATACCTTTCTGAGAACGGTCACACGTCTCATCCTCCTCCATCGTGAACTTTTCGGCGCTCCAGGCCATCGATGTAACACCGGCCGCTAATTGCACCTCTGAGACCATAGCTCCGTGAACGTCCATCACGATTAACTGGCCCGCGGTCGTGCCGAAATAGACCTTTTGTTAAAGAAGAAGGTCGGAAGTGAATAATGTCATTTTATTTTTCTCCTATCATTTCTATCGAAGACACTTTTATCGGTGATAAAAAAAGAAGCTTTTAACCCTGAGTACTGAGTCGCTGTCAATCAATGATTGAGTGTACTACTACTACGCCACAATGCGAAGAATGTTTTTATTCTTCGAAACACGATACACCGATCTTATTAGGAGTCGGATATATCTTATTTCGTAAGCGGTGTATAACACTCAAACGCTCGTGTCATTAATTAGATCATAGCTGATTTACAAACAACAAAACTTGACAGTAGACAAATTTATAACTAAATAAATTTCACCTTTTTATTTTTTATAATTTTTTGGACTTTCCAATTGTCAGTTGAAATGTTGAAATGTGCAAATATTGTAGACATCGATTTCTTTCTGCTTTAGTTATACCGTTTCTAATCTAAGCCGAAAGCCTATAAAATATCATGAAGTAATTTTTTCAAACCTGCTGATCGTCTGGAGTCCAAATGCCGCAAGTTATTGTCGCTTTGTCGTTCAGCATTGACGACCAATACCTCTGACCGGCGACACTGCCAACCAGTACAAAACCGTCCTACGATAAAATATTATATTCTTCGCAGATAATCTTTTGCAGAAAGTGTGCGCAACACAACGAGATCATAAAAAAAGAACATAATTTTTTAAACTTGTGTCGACGCATTGAATAAAGCGCTCTTTGAATCGAATGATGATACTTTGAGAAATAAGTAAACGTTTCTTCATCGGAGCTAATTTGTTTAATGATAACGAATTTCTTTCTCGTTATATCGTGATATTGGAACAGTGATTGAATGTGATGCAAGGGAAAATCACGGTTATTGCCTCGTAAACTCAACTACTATCACACAACTCACTCTGTAACATATAAGAGCCATTCGACCATCGTGAGACCAAGAAAAGTGCGTAACAGGCGTGCTTCTGTCGTTGATTAATTCTATGCTCCATCGTCCGTCGTATTTGATCCAGACGAAGATCACACCCGAACTGTCGCACGAGGCCAGTTTCTGATAAGGTTCGTTCCATTTGACAAGTATGACCTGTAACCAGATAAATAAAATTTGTAAGCTAAAATTAAGAATTATGGCCAAAGTTATCGATTATTATATTAGCGAATTATTTTCGACTTATCATCCACATACACACAAGGATCTTTAATTTTCCAATTTTTCATTTATGTAGTATTCTACAAAGACCGTCATTGTTTTGTGCTACCAGCAATAAGCCGTGCTTTAATACATCGCCATATATCGATATTTCGATATTTCATCTTGCTCTCGTAATTAATTTTGTCTAATCAATAGAAAATCTAAGTCTTAAATTATCTTTGATGAAAATCTTTTCATCTTTAATTAGAATCTTTTTATCACATTTATATTTATCTTATAACTGAATGGGAATAGATGAGAAATAATTTACATAATTATTGATTAATGTCTCAAAGAGAATTGTAGTTTTGCATTATTGTCTGATATCAACTAGAAGACGTATTCTGATTGCGAGATACTGATTCTAGTTCGTGACTTATTCAATAGATATCATCGAAGATTTGAAGAGATTAAATGAGTCTTTGAAGGAAGGCAGTCATGACCTTTGCTTTTAAGATATATCCCATGCTGTCAGTAACCGAAGTAAATTTTATATAGGGTAAAGTCGCGAATATGCGATATCCACCGAGGTGGTCATTGCTCCATCGTCAATCGATTGCTTTCTACTGCAGTGACGAACGACGGCGTCTATATTTTTATCGTGTTTGTACGGCAAATAGAAGTTTATTGGAAAATTAATTTATGGTATGAAAACGTTAGATAACAACTCGCTGCTACTCGTTGAAAATTATTTATATCCTTGCAAATACTTTTTTGCTTGTAATGCGAATTATAATTGATTACAAGTGGATAACTGTGAAAAAAATGCTTGAATAGCAAAACAACATTATGCAGTGTAAATTGTATCTACGGTTTATCATACACGCGTTATTACACTTTGTAATGTTATTCATTAATCGTATTTTACAAATTTCTCTTCTATTACTCTCCATTGATTTTACGTTAGTTCAAAATCATACAATAGTATTAGAAGTTATAACTTTTTTTTTACTTAAAATGCTTTTTAGCCACCATTATTTTTTCACAAATTTCTAAAACACACGACAGATTAATATTTCAGTACGTAAAGCTTCGATCGACCGTCCGATATTCTTCGAGGGGTAGAAAGTGCGGATAAAGTCACGAGGGTGAGCTGCGAAAAATGAGAAGGAGGAGAATATTGTACGTGCTATGTGGTGACAAGATATACACATGTGCATCAACCCTCACTGCAGTACACATACGCGTAGATACACGGAGAAAAGATTCGAAAAGTTATCGATACTTTTACGAAACAACTTCTATAGACAAACTTTTCACTATATATTGTTGTGCACAGTTGGATTCTTCTGTGATTGATTAACCAGTAAGTTGCTGCAAATTTATCTTTCCTCGGAAATGATATTTTTTTTTAAGTATAAAAGTATAATAATTGCGTTGGTACTAACGCGCGGACACATAGTAACGTTATTTTATTATTGTAAAACATGAATAGTTTTATTCAAATTAAAACAATGTACTGTTCGCAAACATTATTAGCAAACACTTCAACAAAATTTCTCGTCTTTTTTTTTGTGATTTTACGCGCGACTCCATCACGTGAAATTTTACCGATGGACGAAATCGCGTTACAATAAGCTGGTCTCGCTTGATAGGAATAAACGGAATTTCCCGTGCAATGCTCTATAGATGCAATAAAATCTGTCCGGGGGTACGCTGTAAATTGCCGCGACAGGATCGTGTGAGAGAAAGTCAGGGAATAGCGGAGATAGCGCAAGGGTGTTGATCGATAAGAATCCTGTACGAGTGCTTTGAATTTTTTTATGACACCAAAATCGCTTAAAATGTAAGACTGGAACGCGTCCGGAGAAACCGTTAGAATTCGAAGACCGTAAATTCTTTTATGAGAAGACATATTATAATATATATATATTCTTTCCTGCGTCAGATTTCTTTACAAGAATGTCTATTTAAATTTAGATTTTAATAATGCAAATTTAAATGTGAGGGTGGATTAAAAAGATGGTGAATTAAAAGGAGTCGCATTCTTGATGGATTAGATTTATCATGTAGTCGTATGTAAGCCGGATACGGCTACACAAATTGACGCAGTGCATCTATTTTAAGCGACGAGAATGCTTGCTCGCATAATCATATTCTGTGACGGAGTGCACGGTGGAATTATCAGCTTTTATGTGATACGTGGCGCGACACCCCCGTGCTTTCGTTACGTACACATACCGGTGGAAAGTCATATTTTCCAACACCCCATACATTTTTCGTTTAACCATTGAACGTGAATAGCACTCCCTGCTGACCTTCCACGCCTCTTTTGTCTGCGCGTATTCGCCTCGTGCGGCGTTTACTGCAGGGCGAGAATACAACGGCGCGCCTGATAATCGAACGTAATTGTATTTTCGGACATATTCGTAAAGAGCGCCAAATGAGACTGTAATAGTACGGTCGTCGCTTTCTTTTTCGCCGTTAAGGTTCGTTGAAAGTTCTACGACCTGTAACGTTGCCATTTTCTATGCCGTTTATTTCAATGTACAAGTACACAATTCCAAGAATGAAGAACAGTAAAGAAACATAATTGAAATTAATTTCTGTCACGGTCCTTGTTTCATGCTGCTTTATTCTCTAATTTTCACTCTAGAAGACTTCCGTATTATAATGACGCAAACTTGAATCACTTTCCATATTTCGCTATCTCATTCACAGTCCACCTCCAAAATTTATCCGCAGAAATGTATGTTAATAGATAATGGGGGAGGGGGGGGAGGGGGGGGAGTGAAATTCTTTCGAAATATATTGCAACTCTTCTCGCCAAGCGACTTCCGTCCCGAAAGGGCAGAGGCGATCGTCACGTAATCCTTTGACTGCTAATGCATTGCGGTAAAGGCTGCAGCAAGTGCCGGAGTGCGCCTCGGCAAGCTCGTTTGGTAAATCAATGATGCTCCTTTCCACACTCGTTCTTTTTCAGTGTCAAGGTAACTCCACGCGCCATGTACTCCCGCGAGAAATCTCTCCTGCTCTTTTGGCTCAATTTCTCACCTCGTGATTTATGACAAACCATATTGAAATTTACACTTTTCTATGCTTAAATTTCCGTTTCGCATTATTTATATAGACATATGTAAAACTTTTCACGTCCTTCTGAATAATGGAAAGCATTAATAGAATTCTTCTCGAGTTCGTAGAGAAAGTTTTTAATGGGATGTTGGATAAAACATTAAAGGCAATGACAGACTAATTTACATTGAACCAATTTAACAAACTTACAAGTTTAGAACATTATAAGCAAAACAAAATATTTCATATTTTTCTACAAGTTTTGAAATGTCTTCTAATAGTTTATTAATTTTCAAAATAATGTATAAATTTATTCTTTATTTGAAAATCTACAAACAAACGTACATTAATTCCACACGCTTCTCAAATTGCAGATATGGCATTTAAATTTATTGCATCGGTTCGTATTTCACTCCATTGACGCTACCTCATGTGTTTTCCCACCACCGAATCCCTTCGGTTTGCGAAGAAGCGATTAACGTGTATTGAATCCGCGAGATGAATAATTTATACGTATAATACAATATCGTTCGTTTAATATTCCACAGAGTTATCTTCCAGCACGATGCGCTCGTTTTAACGACTCTATCCGGTGGACACGCGTACTCCGTGTGCTTATCCCCGAGGGATTAGCGGGCTCGCGCAGTCCAACCCTGCCGTTACGTTTTCACTGTTCCACTTAGGTTCCGTCGGTGCGTTACTTATACACGAGGAAGACTGCGCAAGAGGGCTAATGATGTCAGCGCAAGGAAAAAAATTTCTTTGCCGACATCAAAGTTTTATCTTTCTTGCGAGTAATGAAACATTATGCGAGACGGATCTCTTACTTGGCTTATAAGATTAAACCTCAACTTGCTAGGAAAACTCAGTTAGAATTGCGCTGTAAGCCGCCGAGGTAAGCACGTGCGTAAGTCTCGATTTTTTTGCTAAAAAGTTGTATAAAATTTATCTGATTTTGATGTGCAAAAACTTTTTTCTACTTTACTACCACAAAATTGTTGGAAAGCATGCACGATCTATATGAGGGATTTGCTGGAAAAAAAATACAAAAAAGGATTTGGAAATTAACGTTCCATGCAATTGCGCATCAAAAAAACGCGGAAATTGTCCGCTCGAATAAGTGACAGTTTCTGTACAAGGAATAGATATAATCGCGCTATCGATTTGAGGTCCGAACGTGGCTGGTACGGCCTAGAACAGAAATAACTGAAAATACACCCTTATCTAGCTGCAAGTCGCTGACTGCAATCTGCAGAAATATTGTGTCCTGAATCGCGTTAAACTGATTGCTTCCGCTTGCTATTTAGAGTATTATTTATAACAAGAATGGTTTTATCTCACATCAAGGCTCACTATTTACTTTATAAATAGCCGTCACAACGATTTATGGTATATTCAAAGTATACTCCGACATATTTTTAAACAACGTTAATATACACACAACGTACACTTGTGTAAAAGATAAAAGAAAAAAACGTAATTTATTAACAAACGTTCCTAAAGATAGAGATCCAACTACTGTGAAAATAGAGTTGAGAACCGCGGTCTTAAAACAGCATTGCGTGCCAGATCGATACGACGGCGGCTACCCTTAAACTCTGAAATGTGGACCGAAGTGGACGTAAAATTTCAAGCTTTTATTAAAAATTTTTTGTCAAATTGCATATGTATCATATGTAAGTAGAAAAAAAAATTCTTTGCAAATTAATCGCATCGTTCGACAGTCAAGCGCGATCAGCAAGTTAAATCTATATTCCATCGAAAGTTTCACTGTAACAATCTCATTATTATCCGTAAAAATGGAACTTCTGCAAGTTATATTAGCAGTGAATGAGCTTTACTCTCTTTTTACGCTTCGACATCTAATAGTAAGTTTCTACCATACGAGTATTACAATCGACTTGTCCAGTGCATAATTCAAAAGCATATACATCACAAATTAATGAGATATAACGAAATGAACGAGTCTCGTTCTAACTTTGTGCTTATTGTCTGACCTGGTTTCCGCTGTCGGGATCATTTTCCCGCGTGCAGTTTACGGTGTAATCGTCTTGTGTCTGCGTGTCAGTCCTACACGTTGACTTATTGACTAAGGTTCGTTAAATGAGGCGAAAGGTCCGTGGGGTTCGGAAAAGTTAACAGATGAACACGAGGGAGGACGTGTGTGTGTTGTGTGTGTGCGCGTGCGAGCCGATCTATATACACAAACGCACACTCATATGTGTGCACGCGTGCCGCTATCGTGTCCGAGGCAGGCGCCGTCCACGCCGGGGTGCTGATCTCAATTTAATTAACGCCGGTTTAAATGCCGTCGGACAATTTACCATCGCGCAGCAACTTCGAACTGGCTTGTAACTCGGTAAGTACATGCTGTCATACATTGCACAGGCTTGCACAGGCTTGCACAGACATAGAACAATATCTATCGGACAATTATCAACACAAACATCTCTGTAAAACGATAACAAACCGAATATTGTCGCGCGAATTATTTGTCCCTGGCTTCGTAAATATTTTTTTATATTTTCAGCGCTCACGAATTTTGCCTGATAGTATTATTTAAAATACTCTACTGTTGCGAGAAATGTTTTCCCTACATTTCGAGGACAAACAAGTCAGAATGCGCAGGGAACGGGGGGACAAATTCCTCGCGGGAACGTGTCTCAACGTCTCATTTATCTCATCACGTGGAGTACGCTCGCGACGCTTAAGTACAATCCCGGCCTTCTGCCTTACTTCTTACTCCGTTATCGTACGGACCAACCCCTTGAACAGAAGTGTCCATAAAGGATAAGGGCGAGAGAAAGGTGCGTTTGCACTCGCGAGTGTGTATGATATTGCGGAAGGATATCCGTATATCAGTGCGGAAAATTGTCGGAGACGAGAAAGATTTGCCGAGCTTCATCGGAAATCGGAAAGAAATAATGCGAGCGCATTGTACGAAAGCCTCAATATATCTCGCTGCATATCGCTATCGTCCTTGTATAATGGCCTTTGTATCTGGGCACTCGCGAGCGTCATGTATTTTTTATGGATTTACAATTGACAGGAATTATTACTCGCGTTCCTTTGCACGGACACTTTTTGAGCAAATGTGGAAACAGGACGAGGGCAAGTCGAGGGTACGTCGCGCGAATCTGGAAGAGGGTGAGAATGAAATGCGACGCAATAAGCACACGCGCGAAAGGAAGGCAGATGTAAACCCACTCAGGGTGCAACCCCCGAGATTTTAAGCCGGTGATATTAATATTGGAGAAGCCGGAGCGGCGGTAGCTCGGCCGAGACTCGGCCGAGCGTGTATAGACTCGTGAAATCGTACAACGTAGCGTCCGCAAGTATCTGCAGGCAGTTCGTTAAAAGCGCACTATGGCTTAATATCGATTAAGGGCCACAAAGGACTCTCGGTTTGCTGGCGCGCGGCCGTTTACTACCGATACAGAGATTACACCAAGTTTCGGCTCGATAGAGTTGGCACGACGGCGATGTGTTATGAAACTATTAAATCGCCTGAAATATTAGCGAACTTTATAATTATCGTTGAGCGACAACAATCTGCGTGGAAATTTGAACCAGTTACGCATTAACAGTGTTGGCGACAATGAGTTACTTTAAACATGCAAATTATTTATAAAATATAAACGCTCGCCGTTTATTTTAACGATATTTAAAATTGGTTTATGCAAATTAACGTTATATTCCATTTGAGGGAAATCTGTCGCTTGATATTAATCGTCACTTGATTTATGTGAACTTACGTGTCAATTGCCGTTGTCGCGATAAGGTGCCGATCTACCAACATTTGTGTTTCGCTAACAATTCAATACATCACCGTGAGCTTCTATCAGTATTACGCGCAACCATCCAATTTCTTTGTCGATTTAACCCATACGTTCTGCAACCGGTTAACGCGACTGGTATCGAGCAGATAAAGCGTATACACTGGCTGCTACTAGCCGATAACCCTCGTGCGCTTCCTTCCGTGATGTTGCAAAGTAACCACGGATAGAATATTGCTTCGCGTTGAAAGACCCGATTTCGCGAACCGTGATATCACAACAATGCTTAGCATTGCTAAGCACATTCATCATCTTTAGTCTATAAATCGCTACTTTGGCGTGGCAAAAATAACCTGTGAAATATAAGAGCTATCAAATGCAATTACAAGCATTTTATTTTGTTCCTACTTTCTCGCAATTGTAATCCTAAGTTAAATAAACAAACACATTACAACCAAGACCTAAAAAAGATTAAAATTGAGAAAATGCGCTATAACAAGCGATATTAATACTCAGGGAAGGAAACTCGGAGGAAGAAATTAAATACTGGTTTCGTTCAAGCGTTCAAGCGGTTTCAGGCGGTGCCGGTGACAAGAAGTTAAAGGAAAGGCGATACTTACTTCACTACGGTGCCCTCGGAGGTTGTAATTCGCCCTGAGTGGAAGTTCCGCGGCTCTGGTACGACAATGTGACGTGGTAAAAGTCACTCCCACCAAGCCGCGGGCGTTGCCGGTGGCTAACCATCCTTCCTGATAGTAATTTGTACGGTCGAGTTTCCATCCTTCGTCCTGGCAAATAAAAAAAGAACGCTAGTTACGATACAGCACGAGACGTCATACTTTTGATTTATTGTGTCGCCGATTTAACACGGGAACTTTTTTAACAATTTTCTCCTCAGAAATGACGTCACTTATGATAAGCATCACGATTATTCCGAAATTTGTGTGACGTAAATGAGACTGAAAAGAGCTGTCACGTAGAATATCGCAAACTGCGTACTAAAGTAATAGCGGCTCCGGCCGCTAAATTAAATACCTCGTAAACTTGTGAATAATTATTCGGTGATCAAGTTATCATGATGAAAACATTTTCTAAAATATTTCCTAATTGATTCATTATTCATTTTACAGAGTATAATAGGAATTTGATGTCCAACGTGTAACGTGTTTGTGTAGGCGTAAGAAACTGACAATTGTGAGTAATCAGTTAAGTTAATTGTTGTACAACCGATTATTACAATCTTCGATATCAAACAGTGCGATTGTTCAATTGAAATCGAAGATGCTTACCAGAACAGAGGGTTCTAGTATTATTCGTCGGCACGTAATGTTTCCGCTCAAAACGTGACAGCATCAGGTGGCAAAGGCTTCAGTGCTCAAAAGGGTTTCACTCTCAGGCTTGTTATATATATATGTGTGTGTGTGTGTGTGTGTGTGTGTGTGTGTGTATAATTACTCAAGGCAGTCTGAACCCCTAGAAAAGATAATATCGAGATATACGTGCGCTATTTACAAAAATATCAAATTTATTCATTTCTTGACGTGTGCCAAGCTCGCCACAAATGGAAATTTTTTCCGAAAACAAAAGTTAAAGTTGTATTTGCATATTTTCTACCAATGGATTGATCTTGGCACAGGAAGTAATCACAAATACAGGAAATATTCGACCTAGACAGTAATTTGCGTCCCCTTTGGCATCCTTCCCATCGATAGGTTGATACCTATCTCTTCAATTTACTGCAATATCGAAAAGCTATTCTGAAGGGCATTCGAATTGACAGTTAATTAACAATGCACTTTTAAGAATGTAAATGTAAGAAGAAAGAGTGCGCTTGTTCTTCCTTTCAAAGTATCGGAAAGAAATAACAAAGCGCGGTATAAAAGATATTTCTTTCATATATTTCTGACCTCTTCACATTTATATTAAAGCTTCTTCAACTCATGGGATTTTTTTTCTTTTCTATCCGCCATGAAGTTTTCCTTGAAACATTGCATGTAAGATAACCCCGTAAGCGTAAACTATATTATAGAGTTTCATTAAAATTTCAAATTAGATCATGGCGTAGTCGTAGTTTGTACACTCGTATTTCGTTGCTCCTGGAGGATAAGTTTGCACGTTGCGCACGTATGCGGTCTGTGTATATTCACCGGACTGCAAATAATTAAAGCGTGATCTGGCTGAGATGTTTTGCAAAATAGTTGTAACAAAATGAAATACGAGGGTGAACTGCTGGAATCGCACTAAAACAATTGTTGGAGCAATTCTCTGAATGGGGGAGACTAGCAATATGGGAAAATCAATTAATTCGGTAGCTATCTTCTCAGACAGCAGTCCGATGTTATCGAGAAACAAGTTGGACAAAGACGCGGTCAAACAATAGCTGCTCCCAATTATCGTAAGAGATTCATGTCCCGCTTGTGAATCTTGCCTGCTGACGCTTATGTTCGACCAATGCCAACATCGCTTGCGTATATTGTTGTTCTTCGCAAAACCGCGCTGGATTCCTATCATCTTACCGGTGAGAAGTGTTTCACATGTTGCAATCAATGATCATGAGGGTGTTCCTTTTTTGCGAATCACAGTGATATGACAGTGGGGAGAGTATGGCGGCAGCGGAGATAGGAAGAGAAATCAGTGGTAATCCAATCTTCGCAAACACGTTGAAAGCAATCCGCGGAAAATAGAGAGGGAAATCGATGTTGCGCGAAGACGCGCCTTGCGGAACGGGCGGGATTATTTTTTGTGTTGCGAGGAGCAGCGTGCGCAAGAGAATCGGAGGAGGAGCAGTCGTGTTCGCTTTCTCGAAACGAACGCTTCGATACAATTTACCGGCGAACAATGGTCGTAGTAGTAGCGTAACGGTTCTCAATAATGACGTTATCGATTCGAATGCGATTCACAATGCGAGAGTATAATGGAAACGTATGACAGTGGATTATCACGGACACATATGTGACAATTCAATGCGTTAAATACGCATCTCACTTTTCTCACGGGTCACAGATTTCGGAGCGGAGCTTTTTCCGAAACGTTTTCATCCCAAATGAGCAGCGAGATATTATCCAGAAAATTTAATTAGCTGCAGAATTTTTTCAGCTGCGAAACGAGATAGCAAGTAAATCCCGCTTGATCGCGGCGCACTTTGGTAAAATGGTCGTTTGTTGCGCGTTTGTCCCTTCTAATGGACCGCCATTTATCCCCAGCAAACTTTTACACGGAGACATGTAAAATTTATGGCGCCGTGTAATGGCTTTTAAACCTTTTCTCCGAGACGTCTGTTGCGTGCATAAACCCGGAGCATATCGGTGTTTTACGACGAACTGCCTCTTTCTCCCGAGGCGGTTATCGAACGGTTAACAACGAGAAAATAATGGCAGCGCACTGATCGAATTCCCCCGGTGACGGCTGACTCGAGTGTCTCAATCGAATTCGCTCCGCTATACCATAAGTCAATTATTTTTCCAGTAATTGAGCCGCCCTGCTTCCACACGCTTTTCATCGCGCTTCTTCCTGACGTCGCGAAGGGCTGGCTTCCATCGAATCGCCAATCGCAGATTGGTCTCCGGCGATGAATTAGACGACGCGAGGGCGAGGAACGTGCTCGTTGATCATGAAGCACGGCCGCCGTAATTAATTCTGATCGATTGCGTCCTGTCGTGTGGGTCCAAGTTCGGCAATCAGATTAATTCCCGCGTGTACGTACTCAACTAGGAAAATACCAAACTGATCGTCGAACGAGAGAATTTGCAAGCGATCGAGATAAAGTTTTAAGCAAAAAAAAATGGACGAACGATATTTTATACGGTAATCAATGATTCTTGCGAAACTAAATGCAATCTCAATTATACGTGCAGCGGAATAAGTAAGGAATTTTTTTGAACGCTATTGTGCCTCAGTGCAGGGAAAAATTTTGCGGCTACACCCACCCTTTCGCGGAGGGTGCATATCTCGCGCGGTACCAGTTCGTGCCTCTCGATGGCCTCTCGTAAGTGGTGCGGAACAAAGCCCGTTGCAGGAAACTTGGGTACTCGTTAGTTGGTCCGTGAAAAGATCCACTCGAGACACCGAGCCTCATCCTCGCTATCGGAGTCAAGTCGCGGCTGTACGCGGCTCGTAGCTAACCATCCTGTGAACCCCTTCATCCTCGTATCGTTCTCGACGCCCTCGCAACTCCTCTCATTCCGACGGATTTCAGTCTCCGCATTGTGGCTGTTTTGATTCCACATTTTCGGTCCCGCGATTCTCTATAGCGTTATTAATCCGCCGCCAACCCACGAGATATCCCTACAGATTGGCGAAGAGATTCTCTCACGACTCCGAAGATAAGATCTTTATTGGAAAAATGTTCTTTGTCGTTTGTATTTCTCCGATTGTGTATGTGACTTGCACACATTAAGAATTCTGAGCTCTCGGTTTGAAATATTCTATTCTATTAATTCTATCGCTCACCATTGCGCTAGAATTCTGATAAAAATCACGAAATAACGATTGAATTAATTACATACATCGAACACTATCGAAAACTATCCGTGTTTTTAGGATTTAAAACATATTAAGAGAATTAACAATCATTACGTCATATTTATCCACTTGGTTCGATTTGATTGAAGGATCGAATCTGTATCGATAAATACAGTGTTACACAAATACATAGTATACGTAGATAGATGTCCTATTGTCATAGATTGCACGGTCGTAAAACGTCAGTCAGATGTCAGATTCTATTACAAACAATTTTAACCGATCAAACGAATATAATCCGACTGCTATAGTTTTTAGTTTCAGTTATTTCAGTTATTTCAGAGGCAAATTAATTTCGCACTCATTACTAGCTTGCACGAGCGCTCGTTCGCTTTCGTCAGAGCAAAAGTTTTATCTACTGTCGTTCGCGCTGTAAAGCTGGGTATACGTGTCAAAGTAACGTGTAGCAACTACGTTTTTATTCATGCCTATATACTGGTTTAGTGTCGACTGTGTTCCCGTTAACGTTTACAATCTCCTCTTCAGCGTTCTGTTTGTTGCTGTCTTTCTTTTACTGAATACGGATAAACTGTCTTTACCGCAATGGATGGTGCGAATAAACAGTATATCTTAAAATAGAAATTATTGTTAATTTAACATAAGAAGTCGAGCCTTTTCTTTCAATATTCCTATGGCTTAATACAAAAACAATCAATGTTACAATTCGGTTAAAGTAAAATATGCCGTATAATAAGCTTTAACAAATACAATTTTTCACGGAGAAATTAGAACTTTTTTTCAAAAAAATTAAGTTTAACTAATTTGCCTGTAAAAGATCATATTTGTTGGAGTTTATTATGCAGCACATCTTTTTGACCGAAAAGTGACATCGATCGTTCTTGCGTTAAACCACAGAGATTTCAGAGCGATTACGTTAAATCACAAAAGTGAAGATTGCATATTCAACTACAAGCTACAATTTCTCCGATGACGTCAGCAGCAGTCGACGTTATACGAAAATAACTATGGACAATCTCGACGATCTAAAAATTGGCTGAAGAGAAGCTGAGGTCAAAACACCGAAGCTAAACGTTTGCTTTCAGATCGAATTTTTTCTATTGAGAGTCTCTCAATACTAATATATATACTAATTATGCGTTATTAGCGAACGTATATAAACTTGTTTTGATAATTTACTTGCAAAAACTATTATCAAACGTAACAACTGTAGTCGTACATTATGCAATACACTCGTTGGTTGATTACATCGCTTACGCTAATACATTAATTTGAATTACTAGCGATTGTAAACGGTGGCCTGTTTTACTTCGTGACTTGCGGAATGCCAAATGATGCGGTAAAACATATTTTTAGCCTCTTGCATTCGTTCGATCAAATGTGGAGCGTCGAATCTATTTCGAATGGAATCTATCGTGCATGAAAATCGTCAAACTAAGAACGAGCTCTTCTTCATAACGATTTATACAGCCATTGTAAAATTACTCAATCATACTTGATAACTCCGTCAAGGAATTTTGTAATTGTTTCACATCTATTTTTCACTTGGAAACAACTTACCTCCGGCGACTCGTCCGGCACTTTGCCCATCCAGCTGAGCGATAAGATATTGCAGTCGCACTTGGCGTTGTTGTTCTTCTCGAAATGCAGATGCATGGTTGCAACGCGATCGGATTCCCATCGGCAGGTCCATCAATCCATTGAACTGGCACCGTTTTCCGCAGCCCCGACTACGCGCTTCGCAGCCGGATTCCACATCGCTCCTTTCGCGAGCATTCTCGCGCCGTGCGCGCTTCCTCGTTCCGCCGGCGGATCCGTGATCGATAATCGAATCACGCTCACACGTCAGCGCGCCTGCACGCGACTATCGTCCAGCGACGAGTTCCCTCATGACCACCCTCGTGATTTCGAATCCGGGCGATCCTCTCTCTCTCTTCCGAGGAGTGGAATACGCGTCGCGGTTGCCGCGCGACCTTCTCTTCCCTAGCGACGCTGAATATCAGCCGCCCCGATCGCGCGATCGAGAGCGAGCACTGAGATTCCGCGCACCACCGAGAAGAATCACGCCGGCCTAGGCGTTTTCTCTCAATATCGTCGTTCACCACTCCCGATCATTTGTTTCTTATCGCGGCCGCCATTTTGCCGCCCGAGACGCTACTCCACCTTGTCAGGGTGTGCGATCCGTGCCGCGCCGCGCCAGGGTCGGGGTGCGCGCTTACGGTGCGGGTGGACGTGAAGTCTCGCGGTGAACCGCGCACGGTACCGTCGACGCATGAGCTTCCGACGCGAGCGTGCGTCCGACTGAAAGCTCAACTATGTGGAGTAGAGCAAAGCGCGCCGCGGGCTTGCTTCCGTCCGTCGCGTACGCGCGACGAACGTATTGATTGGAGTCAGCCGTTCCGTTCCGTGTGGTCCGCGACTACCTCATGCTCCCTAGCGCTATACTAAATTCATCGTGAGCTTTTCCGCGCCGCGCCAACGAACCGGCGGAGCCGCCCTCTTCTATAAAGATATATCGATATTCTGTGAAGAACATTTTTACAAATTCGTATCCAATATTTGATTCAAAAACACCCTTTTATTTCTCGCAACAAACTTTATATATTTAAATGAAATTTTATGTATCTTAGAAGTATCGTTAGAAGCAGAGTTAATTTTGAAGCCGATATCAATATTTTTACCCTTTATGCGTATAAAACGTCAATGATATCTCCTCATTTTGATGCCGACCAAGTATTGACATTTTATTTTACTATAGCAACCCTATTTTAGTTAGCGCGTTTGTGGGGATGAATTTTACGCTGCTTGGGGTGCATCGAATGGATGGATGAACGACACTTATTGTCAGCACCATACGCTAGTCGATTTTTCTTTTGCTTTCGATGCATAAATACTTGCGACTAAAGCGTAATAAATTTACATATAATAAATTACGTTAATTTTAAAGAGAGCATATTATTTATATAAATTTAAGTGAATTCTACTTCGAGAAAATTTATTATTTTATTTGTACTTTTTATTTGTTAATAATAAGAGCAAATCATATTTGATATGGTGAACAATAAGAAATTCTGTACTATAAAATCTATTAGTCAAATAAACAATTGGAAGAAAGTTTTTTATTTGAAATATAAACCAAAGCAAAGATATATAATCGACGGATGATAATAACCGTCGAATAAATATCAAATGAAGTTTGTATATTTCCACTTGATGTCGCTTATTATCATTTCCTTCCTTGATCTGCACGCGGGCGCAACAGCTTACAAGAATGATATTTAGCTTCTTGCTAAAAGTTGCAAATTATATATTTTAATCGATAGTGTTTAGAACGTACTTATTTTGTTATAATTATGGATTATAAAGATGAGCAACATAATGAAATCGAAGCTTTGGAGTCAATTTATTGTGGAGAATTGGAAAGTAAGTATATTATTGAATTCTAGCATATAACCTGTTTACAGATGAAAATATTTAATTTTCGATGATAAATTGCTACTTATTGCAAATAATTTAAGGGCATACATCTTATAGTTTTAGTAACAGAGCCGTTTTATACATTTGCTATTCCGATCAAAACGGAAGAATATGAACCAGACACTAATAATGGGCTCAGTTGTCGATTAGAATTTACATACACATCAAAATACCCAGATGAACCACTGCTTATATCAATTGTGGAGCAAGAAAATTTTGAGGATAGTGACGATGAAAAATTGAAGGCACATCTACTAGAACAGATGAATGAAAATCTGGGTATGGTAATGGTGTTTACATTAGTTAGTGCAGCGCAAGAATGGCTTAATGTACAATGGGACAAAATAAAATTAAAGAGAGAAGAGACTGCTGCACAAAAATTGATAGAAGAAGAGGAAGCTGAAAGAGTATAACATTTAAAATATATTCAATTTGTAATATTTTCCAGGTAATATAATAATAATACTCTTTGTCATTTGTAGAAACGATTTGAAGGAACTCGCGTAACTGTGGAATCTTTCCTAAGTTGGAAAGAAAAATTCGATGAAGAAATGGGTTATACAAAACGAAAAGAACTGGCGGACCGCGAAGGTAAAAAACTAACAGGAAAAGAATTATTTATGACCGATAAAACATTGGATCAATCGGATCTCAAATTCTTAGATGATGGTAAGATGTTTGATTTTATTATCATTTTATCCATTTTTTATTATAACATTTGATAGGCCTAGAATTTTAGAATTTACATTTTCTTTACCGGTATGCGCATTGAAATCTTAATACTTTAAACATAAAAATGGTTTATATTCTAGAATAATTAAATGTACATTTTATTTATTTGTATTTCTTAGAATCTTATATCACTTAATAGGTAACGATGCATTGAAATCTTATGTTCTAGAATTATAGACCATTTCTTCGTTTAATATATAAAATTTCAATGCATCCCAGTAAAGAAAATGTATATTCTATAGTTCTAACCTAACCTAACAAATGTTATAATATAAGATTCTATTTATTTTATTCATTTCCATGCCTTAGATTTTATAATATATCAATATGATATAAGATTCTAAGGCATAAAAATGAATAGAACATGTACATTTTAATATTCTAGACTAATTTTTTCTTTAAAATATAAGATTTGAATGCATCTAAGTCTACCAAGTGACATGATAAGATTCTAAAGCATAAAAATTAAAATATACATTTTAACATTAATGTACATTTTATTTCTTTTTATGCCTTAAAATTTTCATATCAGTTGATAGAGGTCTAGATATGTTCTAATATGTAATTTTACTATATAGGTGATGCTGTAAAGGTAGATGAGAGTTTATTCCAAAATCTAGATGATTTAGATTTAGAAGATGATGATGATGATGATCCAGACTTTGACCCAAACATCTCGGATGATAGTGCCTAAATGAGTTTGATTTAGTAGCTACTAATGTGAACTGATATGTAGAACAAATTATGGAAAGGATTACTAAATTACAAAAGGAGAAAGTGAGTAAAATATACTGAGATGTGTATTTTAAGTACCAGAATTTCTCTTATAAGCCGATTACATCTAAAAACTGGCAGTGATAAATGAATCATTATGGTTGAGGCAAAAAAATATGGATATTTCTCCAACCAGTACATTATTGGAAGATAATCCACAAAATAAAATATTTAAGGAATGAAATAACTTTTATACTTGTGTATATATGTATTTTGTTCATAAGCTTTGTTTATTAAAGAAACGCATCTGTTTATTGCTTCTGTATTGATATTTTTTCCTCCCGTCTTCAAATATTCATATACAGTTTCTTTCATATATTTATTGCGATAGGAATGGATTAAGATAAATATATAACCAAAATGCATAATATAACGACCAGAATTTAACATTTATTCATAATATTGTAACATTATAATTTATATACTTGGTAGCAATTCATAAACATTTATCAGTGTGTAATTCATCTACGATTTGATAAACCTTTTCTGCAATACTGTCAAGATATTTATTCATGACAGCATGGTACAGTTTTCTGTACGAAAATGGTATAGATTTAAAAAGTTCTCTATTTTGTGTGGCAGTAATTGTTAAAATTTAGTCGATGTTATTGTTAAATAGTTCTATTTTATATAACAGCTAGTATTTGTAAGGTACTTTTTGACAGAAAGTTTATTTGATGGATCTGTAGCGCTTCTTGTTATAAAATACAAGAACGCGCATTATGACGGAATATAAAAGATATTGGTGTTATATTTTGATAATAAGATTATAAGAATTTTTTTTTTTTCAATTTATTGAATATACTGTCGCATCATAGTGTAATACTTAGAATTGAAATTATTTCATCATGTGATCTTTTTCATGAACTTTTATCTACTTGCTATCTACATAAATTTTCATACAAAATTCCTGGATATTCCAGGTACTTTTGATTAAATTTCTTAATTTTTCAAACTTCTGAATGTTCCAAATTTGTTTAAGTAGTAGACATCCTGATTCAAGAAACCGGTAACTCATTTCTTATAATAGACTGCATGTCAAGTAATTAAAACGAAGAACAACTATTTATCATCTATGGTTCTAAAATGCAAAATAAATAAATATTTACTTGTATGATATACTGTGCACGATACACGTATCATGTTACACAATTAGAGATAGCCTTGTAATTATTTTATAAGTGAACTTCTTAAAAAAATAAATAATCTGTAGTATTGGAATATCTGACAATTCATGTCAAAGTTAGTGAATATTTGCACATTCCTTACTATTCAAGTACGATTTTACAGTGTGTGGAACATTGCTCTGTGTATCATCACATTAAATAAATATAAGTACATGAGCATACTTAAACATAAGAAACATCGATTGATTGCTATTGATAAACTGCGATTTCTTAATATTAAAGAGTATACAATATTTGATCACTCACAAGCAATAATATTAACATTTATTCTCTGACTGCGAAAATTAAATTAAGAACTTTATGTATATGTCAAAATAGTCGTCTCGTGTTTAGACTCGCCAACGCGTTCTAATCTGTTGGGAGAAGAACACAATTAGTTGCACAAAACAACATTTTCGCAAGTTTAACCAAGCGATGCAAATAAATAATATTTAAATAATCTTAATATTGCACATTATACATAGAGATAGAAATAATTTAAAAAACTTATAAAAATAAATACTTATCTTGAAATTAATGTAATTTCTATCGCTTGGACAAACTCGACGGGATATTGAAATGTAAAAGTTTAACTCCTAAATTTTTAAGAAATATATATATATATATATTACACTTACTACTGCTAAGCTACAGGAATTTTTTAGTTTATCAAACCGTTATAATTACAGAAGCATGTTTTATATCATGTCCATAAGATCTTAATATTACACATTACACAGCATGCAATTGATAACAAAATGATACATCTAGAGCAAAATAAATTGTTACAAACACATATATTTTTTCTTCGATTCTAAACAAAATTTATCTTTTGTTATTAAAGAATTAAAAAGAGCGAATCTTTAGAAACAAATATTTGGAGATTATCGAGTCATTAAATATTTTTATATTATAATTTTATATTCTTATATATTGCGCGGTTTTTATAAAATGTTAAAGAATATATTGGCTCAAATATAACAAGTACATTTACATTCATCATTTTTAGTCTTATCCACGTTCATTATTTCATTGTTAAATCGCGTTGTACGCGTTATTCAAATCTCAGACTTATAAAAATATTAGAAATTGATATATATTTTTTCAAATAAATATTTAAGATCAAATATGTCGCCACATAAAAAAAAGTAAATTTCAGTTGTTAGTCAATGTTGTTTAATTAATGCACAATTTATTTAAAGTTAGAAATATTAACAATTATACTATAAATATAAGATATCTCAAAAATAAACATTTTCAAGCTAAAAGCGTATGCATCAATCTTCGTTGGAGTTTGGGAAATTTATTTGCTGGTTTTCGGGAAAGGAAGTAAAAGGCAATTTAGGATGTTTTCATGTCTCGTAGGTAATTATCATCGTCCATAAATGAAAAATCGGGAAACCTAAATATATTACATTTTTTGAATATTCCACAATCGAACGAACTGTTAATAATTTATAAGAGTTCTAAAATCTAAATATTGTTTTGATAAAGTTAAATTATCGATGCCACTATCCTGACATACATTTTTTTTCATTGAAACACAACAATGAAATGCGTTTTTACAAAAGGTAATTATATGATATAAACTTTCTTTAGTTACTTTCAACCGTTATCCTTGCAACAATACTTGTTATGTTTAATACTGATACATAGACGAAGGAGGACATTCAGGCGCCGCGGAAGTATTTTTCATCTGAGGGGGCAAAATTTATCAAGGGGATAGATAAAACATTTATAATATGTATATGTATGTAACTCCATTCAAATACTATATAATAGACCACTCAGTGGGTAGTATAAATAAATGTGCGAAAAATATGCATAGATTTTTTGTTCTAATTAACTTAATTTTCTTCGTTATATAGTGTATTTCAATTGAAAGAGTAAATAGTCAAAAAAAAGAAAAAAGAAAAATAACCCATTTTCCACCTGATGGAAATATTTGATACTCAATATTTTCGGTTATGAAATAACTGAAGAAAACAGAAAAATTTCAGGAGGGGAGGGCTACGCCCCCCTGAATTGTCTCTGGGTGGGCGGTCGCCCCCTCTGCCCCCCCCCTCCGGTTTCGTGGCGCCTGAGAACATCAAAATACTATGTTGTTGAGTTATTGAAAGGATAACGCTGTCAACAATGGAGTCATGCCGCCATGCACTGTATTACCACTTTATGCAAATTATAATGGTAAAAACAGTATTATTAGTGTTAATTATTTGATGGAATAACTTTTCTTACGATTAAAACTGTTTACAAGTTGTTTTGCTGTTTGTATATGCCGTGAGTGATATTGATTACGAGTTGAAGAAACATCGACATTTTTATCGTTAAAGATAATAATGATAGCCTCCGATTCCCAGCTGTTGAAATCCGCTACAGATGTTTTAAATCGTGGCGGATTTCTATTTTGTCTCTGAAAAAAATTAATTAATTTATGGCTTCAATGGTTTCCACCAAAGTTTACATCGTGAAAACAACGAATCGTGAAAAAGGACAGCACTGTGAAAGGAATGGATATATTATATGGATAAAGCGATGGTTACATAAAATAATTATCACAAAATAAAATATCTAAGCTTGATGAATCATTCAGTAACATCAAAACAATTAATATTTACCATAAAACTAGCTTAAGATCTAGCATTAATTTTATCATTGCGTTTACAAATATTCTACAAAATAATACATTCTCAAACATTAATTTATAAAATAAAAGCCAATGAGGTATTTCTTTTAGGCTTCATAATTATATGGAAAATTGCAAAAAAAAGTAAAAATAAAGAAGCAGCATGTAAAGTTTAACTTTGTCATGTCAAAATAAAAAAACTTTTATCAACTAATCTTTTTCAAGGTTCTTACTTACTATTAATCCTACTTGTTCACTGTACTGTCTACAGAGTTGCTGCGATACTATTTGCTACAACTAATTTTAATTTATCTAGCTATCTCTTCGATCCTACAGCTTGTTACGAAAATAACAAATTTTATCTAACTAAATGATGCGACGCATCACTACATGATTAGGAAATCTGATTTGATGTCATCAAGTTCATCGTACTTACTTTTCCGGTAAAATGCGAGGTTTGGCATAATCACCCGGCCACTCATACAGATTTGGCAGTGGACTGTCGTAGTTGGCATCGTACATCTTACTCATAATAAATTGTTTCTTGTCTTTTGGCTCTGGGTACTCGCTCGCCAAACCACCTGTAAATAAAAAGACGTGTAATATGGATAATGTTATTATAATTTCATGATTATATAATAAGACCAACCTTTAGCGTAAGCGTAGTCGGCTATTTTAACCGCGATATCAATAGAGCACTCGCGAATACTATTTAATGGTGGATATAAACTGCCCCTTTTGAGATCCTCATCTTTCACATGATCGGCGACAGTTTGTGCCGAGATCAAGAACAAATCTTCGGTAATGTGATGAACTCCGGTCGCGATAACGCCCAAAGCGATACCGGGGAAGATGTATGCGTTATTACCTTGTCCAGGCTTGTACGTCTTTCCGTCATATTTGACTTCGCCGAATGGCGAACCAGAGGAAAATATACATCTACCCTAAAATCCAAATACGCTTGATTGCACACACTGAATATAGAAAGAAAGCAGAGTTATAAATGCATTATTTTCATCTGAGATTTAAAATTGAATAATATTCATACGTCGGTATGATCGTACGCCTGCTGCGCCGTACATTCAGCTTTACTGGTTGGATTACTCAGAGCGAAGATCAACGGCCGCTCATTATTTTTTGCCATTTCTTTTAGCACCTCAGGAGTGAATGCTCCTGCCGCTGCCGAAGCACCTACGTAAACATTTCAATTTTACAACAAGATCGTTTCTCTTAGAAAAAAAAGCTGCTTACCTATCAATACAGTAGGTTTAATTTCCTTCACAACTTCGATCAACGTCTTCATCACTTTGTGATCTTTCGCATACCAGATCTTGTGGCCCTCCAGATTACCTTCGGGCCGATTGTTCACAAGTAATCCGTCAATGTCCATCATCCAGATGTTATCACGCGCTTGCTGCTCGGTGCATCCGTCAGCCTCCATTGCTTTGACGCAGAGATCAGCTATACCAATTGCTGCCTACAGTTGAATAGAATAAATATTGCTATATTATTATTCTTTAAATGAAGACGTAAATATTGCAATGTTTTATTACGCTATTACGGAAATTTACATACCTCTCCAGCGCCCAGGAAGACAAACTTATTATCCGACATCCTTTTCTTAGTTATTCTTTTTGATGCCAAGATTCCAGCCACCGCAACCGCAGCCGTACCTTGTATGTCATCGTTGAACGTACAATACTTATTTCTATATTTGTCTAAGAATCGGAAGGCATTGTGGTTTCCAAAGTCTTCAAACTGAAACATATAAAACGTGCATGTCGTACGCACCATAAAATTGTTTCATAAAATTTGGATTAACGACTCACGTGACACATCACATACATCTGAAAGTGTACATATGATAACTGTATATGTAGCTTACTTGAATAAGAACGTTTTGTCCGTACTTTTGCACGCAGGCAGCCATAAATTCGTCGATTAATTCGTCATACTCGGCACCTTGACTTCTAGGTTTGTTGAGACCAATGTAATGAGGATCGTTTCTCAGTTGTTCATTATTGGTGCCTACATCGATAGTGATAGGTAGACATTGGTGAGGTTTAATGCCAGCTAGAGCTGTGTAAAGCGCTAGTTTTCCAACAGGAATACCCATGCCGCAAGCTCCAAGGTCACCGAGACCTAAAATTCGCTCGCCATCTGTTACACATATCGCTCGCACCGCTTGTTCTGGCCTGGCAATGCGATAGAAATTGTCATAGAAGAAGATAGATAGAAATTGTCGTATACAAACTAACGCGCTATGTGTGAGATAGTCATTCTTTTTTGCTTTGTGTAACATAACGAAACGCGATGCGTGTGCTGTATATCGCGTGAAATTCTATTTTTAGCAAATACATGCCAGATGCGCACTTTCCGTTCAAACTCTATTCTACAAAATGTGCGTCCTTACGAATCAACTGTGTTCTGTTTTAATAATGATTATTTCTTAATCAATCGTGTAATATTAAAATGTTAATGATAAAAAAGTTACAGATGTATTTAACCCGTATCTTTTTGCAATTGATAACTATTTGATGCATTTTTTTTTAATACTAACCAATTATTCAGAATTTCATAAATATGACCCTTATCGTATATAGTGATGAAGAGTCCGCGAGGTCTGCGATAAATTACGCCGAACTTTTGGCAGGCCAAACCGACAGTAGGTGTATAGACAATTGGCATCATCTGTTCGATATTCTCGCTTAACAAGCGGAAAAATAATCTTTCGTTCCTTTCCTAGAAATTATTTAGAGAAAATTTAGGGTAATCTTAGACATACGAGTATAGAATAAAAGATATTTGCTATTTTTACTTGAAGTTCCACGAGATACAGATATCGGTTCAAATCCTCCGAATATTTCATTACTGAAGCTTTGCACAGAGCCAGCTGTTCTTCTTGAGTCTTGAATCTGGGAGGCTGCAAGCCATGTATCCCTAAAGCTATCCTTTCTTTCAAGGTGAATGCCAAGCCCTGTTATTATTATAAAATGTTTATGTTAATATCGTATTTACTGCGCTGAGGAAACTTTAAACGAAGCGATAGAGTTAACGGTACCTTGTTAAGTCGAGGATCTCTGAGATGTCCGATTCCCTTTACCATATTTATTGGTATTACATCTCCCGAGACTTCGTGAATATTCCTCTGTTGGACATCCTTTGTGGTAGCATACAAAGGTAGAAGCGTCCGCGTCCATGATCCTCCACAATTTCTGCCACTGGCCGATCTAAAAATATATACGATAAAATCTGCATATCTCAGAAACTGCGTAAATTGATATTTAATATTGATATTTTGCAAAAAATAAAACGGGAAACTTTTAATTTATCGGCAATAAAACTGACCTCAACTGCGCAACGTTAAAAATGTCGCCAATTTATTACTATAGTTAATAATATAAATAGTGAGTCATTCAGCTAAAATTTATGATCTTATACGCATGAGAACCCACTGAAAAGTTTTTTATTCTGAGAATAATATCATTTATCTCATTTTTACTCAGTAAATAATAATTAGTAATTAATATGTCGTTTGATAATAATTCAAGAAGCGGTATTAGATGTTGATTCATCAGAATTCAGCAGATAAGTTGCTCTTATCAATGTATGCGCTCTCATAAGGCTCGTTGACAAAGAACAGGTTTTATATTATACGAGCATCTGATGCAAATATAATTCTTTGATCGTAGATTATTTTAAAACACTCAAGGAAGTGGTTCCTTAGAGATAAGGTCGCAGACTAAATTTATATACTTTTTTTGGTACACATATACACTTTTATTCGCGTAAAGCGAATATTTCATTGATAATTTTCTTATATTTCTTATACAATAATTTTCTGTTCAAGTAGCTTATAAAATCGATAACTATACATATACGATGGAATAACTATATACATATACGATATACTATACGTATACGATAGAATATAACCAGGGACAATGATTAGATAAAAATTCGTCGAATATTAGAATTAAAGCCTGCTCACAACGAGTATCTTATGTCCGCAAGATTATTCAACACAGACTGATCCCCCGCCGCTTGAGAACCAAAGCGGGTTATGCTATTATTATTTTCGTGGCATAAAGCCAGGTTTAAAGAAATAATCGTGTGAAATCTGTCGAGATGGTTTAATACATATATATTTCTTTTAGCTGTAACTTCGACATATGGCAGAAAATATTAGCCTGCATTAGCACGCCACACATTTAACGTCAATAGATCGGTCGAGAATAAAAATGTTGCCTTTGTAAAATACATTACTTCAAATTAAAGCAGCACATCTACAATAAATGTTTGTAGTTTTAGTTTTATCAGATCATTTTAAAAATAATCTTTTTCCAAAATGTATTTATAATTAATAAAAAAGTTAAAAAAAAAAACGTATTCAGTGATTAAAATATGGTAAATTATCAAATAAAGAACATTTGCGACATTTTATACATTTTACAAATTTGATAAGGACAACAATGCAACAATAAAGAAAATGCAACAGTCGAAGAAAAGAAATGAAATACATCTTTAATCCGTAATGGAGTCTTGAGTGTGTAAAAAAAATAATTTTTTAAATTCAGAAGTAATTTCTCAATTGGAAATATACGCAATCTGATCGTCCCCTAAATAATGATGTTCTATAATCAAAATGCAACGAAAGCCTTGGATAGAATCAATATATCATTATACATACATCATAATACATCATATTATCAAAATATTAAGCATAGACAGAGTAGTTACTTTTCCATCTCAGATTAACTTATAATAATAAATTCTTTCTTTAAGCATTTGTGAATGGAGTTGCAAAATATGTAGATGAAGCAACGTGCGATGAAACCATCGTTTTACGTTGTCCCACATTGTCATAATAATCGAGTGGCAGTTCCGATCTGTTAAACGATTCATGGCGAGGCTTATATAGCCCTCCTACGTTGTCATAGTTTCCTCATTGTTATGCGAGCGAAATCATATCGCATATCTCACATTTGTAGTGGTTGTACACTCATATTATTTTACGCGAATGCGAATTAAAATATTACTAACTATACTGTGATGAAAGAGAGATATAAGCAAAATGAATTAATTTGACTTACATATATATACAAAATGGTTCTATAATTATAATTATGTAATTCTTCGCGCCAACTTAATGAGTTCTATAAATATCTGACACACCAAAATCATCAGTGACATAAGGCAGCGCGGTTTTAACAGTGATGTAATCAAAGTTTCTACGACCAGTTGTGTCGAAGTATTGCTGTTATTGCATATCCTGACTTTTTCTAGTTCTGATCGATCGACTGTGACTCTAGCAGTATTGATTTACATGTCATGGACATTTGAAACGTTTTGATATCCTAAAGAGATTTAATCTAGTAATATTTGACCCTAGTAGAGTAAGTTTAAACTTTATACTATGAACGTTTTTAGCTTGCAAATTTAAATTAATCATTGTCGCGCGTACACTAATAAAGCTGATTACCAACGGTAATAAATTACGCACTCTTTAAGAGAAACGATATACACACTAATTATTATCAATATTATCAGTGGTAGTTTGCTAAAAATAAGGATTAACAAATAAAATTTTTATGCAACTGAGAGAACTGGAATATAAAATAAACTTTTCTAGATAAAAATTATAAAATTATGTAAAACGTACAAATATTCATGTTACTAAGAGATAACGATTAAAGCAATGTGATTAAACTCTTAAATTAAAAATTCTTACTATTGAAAAAAAACTAAGTAAAAATTTCTGTTATTTACATACAGATTTGCGAGAAGTAAACAGCTATTATTTCTACTGTAAATATATAATAAATTTCCATAAGAGATAAATAAATTTTTAAATAAACAAAATTTTAATCAGATAAAAAAATACTAAAAATGATAATTTATCGGAGTTGCATCTAATTGCACTATGTTATGTCATACTTACGAAGCAAGACGACATGTGTACAAAATTGTTGAACAATTAGGAAGTGACATTTGATTAATTTGCATAGATAATCAATGAAGTACATCTCACGATCCGTGAAACACAATCAGCCGAGTATCATAAATTAGATCGAAGAATACGCGTGTGCACATGATAGGTAATTAGATACATCTATTAAATGTTCGCTTGCCGCAGGCAAGACGCGATGTAATTACGTCCATATCGTTTCTCTATTATATCGATCATCTCAAATCATACGTAGATAATTTCAATGATAAGTCATGTTTGCAATTAGCCATGATAACAGCAGCGCCACGATAAAAGAAAATTAAGTCGTCGTAATTACATGAAATAATACGATCATAAAATTAAAAAATTCCCTTCTTACATGGGATATCTCTCTAAAATAATACTGTTTATATTTAATTATTGCCAATTTATATATTTGTGAATGTTTACATTTTCTTTGCATTTTTTCGCTAAAATTAATTTGTTTTAGAAAATTTCTGTCATGTTCGCGGTGTTTAAAAAATATTAACAAACTGTTTTATTACGTTTTGCTGCTGAGTTTTAGTCATATGATTTTCTGCATTTTTCGCGCTTGGTTGACCTTTAAAAAGTCGTTGGACACCGGGGCGTTCTTTTTCTTCCATTTATCGCGCACAAACATCACCGTGTATCATTGTATGCTCCATGTGACAGTTTCCGGAACAGCAGCCACCGTTTTTACCTTGACTTTAAGTCGTGAGATTGTCAATAGTCTTTCGACTTTCCTTGACTTTTCTTTCATAATAAAACCAACAAAATGTGAAGTAATATTGTTTCGCAATCATTTAAAAAAATTACGGGACATTGTTTCAGAGGAAAAGAACTTAGTTTTACATATTAACACGTTCAATGTTCAACGATACGATAAACAATAAGGAACATCTGAAACAATCAAAGAAATTGTGATAAGAGTTCCTTATTTGCATACATTTTTGTTTGCAGTTAAAGTTATCGATTGATTTCGCATTTAAAAGCACTTGAAAATAAATTACCGAAGTTTACGTGCAAATTTTCCTAGAGTTTGGATGAACTGTATCTAATCATTGCATTGAGATTTCTAATCAATCAGGATAAAAATTTCTAAGATAAATCATGTTGGTAAATTCTTATAATATGAAAAATATCAAAGCTAATTTCTGGAACACAACAACCACTGGGCAATATAATTTAACCGATACACAGCAAACACGACAAAAGAATTAATTTCTCTGACTCTGTCAATATTTAAGGCCACGAGCCCGGTGAAGGCCGGGAAGAGTGCGAAGAAGCGCGCAAGAGCGCAAAAGAACGCGGAAGAGCGTGGAAGAGCGCGGAAGAGTACGAAAGAGCGCGTGGAAGCGAGCTATCAGCGACGAAAACACCTGGACAAAAGCGCGATGCGATCTTCGTCTCGGTAACGGTTTGCCGCAGCGTAACGAGCCAGTAACCTGGCTTCTTTGCTTGGTATTGATCGCTTAGTCGTCGGAGCGCTCCTATTTTCAGCACTGCATTGCAGGCCGTGTGAGTCAGGTTACACGGTTCTCCTCTCGAATAATCGTCTTCCTATGTCCGCAAAGGGCTCGCCCATCCCGTTTAACTCGTGTATACACCTATACGTGCACGTTTATCAACGGCTTGTCGTGCTGACGACTCGCGGTGCTGATAGATTGCAGATCTTCCGGTGGTCCGAGTAGGGACGATCAGATGTGTCGAGCGCAAAATTTTTTTCTGGTACTCACATTATAGACCTCTGCAGGACGAACATCTCGTTCTCTCCTCGTGTACCTCGCAGCTGATCGCACCTCCCACCCAACAGGATCGGCACGCGACTGCGCGTTTTCGGAAATGCCAACCGCGCCGTGTCGTTTTGCGCTCGCGTCGCGTTGCGACTCGCGCGGCTGCCTCGCAGCAGCTTGCTTTGTCGACGAGTACGACAAAGGCGCGTTAGGAGGTGTAATGTGTGGCGCTCTACTATGTCGTTTAAAGCAGAAAAACTAGAAAAAGAATTAAAAATTCAAAACTTTGTCTGCGACTACGTTATGTCTCCTTAGATTCTAATCTGCGCTTATAATTATCTGATCAACCTGATTTAATCTTTAATTATTTCATCTGTAATAAAAAGATACAGTTAATATAATTGTGAGCTAATAATTAATATAATTGATATACTGCATAGAATACATTAAATATTTTTAAATTTACAACTGTATAAAATTTACATCAAAACATGGCTTTGTCATTGAAAAAAGTATAAGAGAAAATGTCTAAGGATATATGAATATTATATCATTTCTATCAAGAATTTGTATATAATCACTATTTTTTATTGCTTATAAAAATAACATTCTGTATAAAGGCTTTTGGTACTTATACTCTTTTCAACGTCAAAGTCTCAGTTATTCTGTAAAATATAGATTCATGATTCATTTGCAAAAAATCGTCGTCATTTAACATATACGTAGATGTTTACAAAAATACAATTTTAAGATATTTTAATAAAATTTTGTATAAGATACAGTCGAATATTCTCATTCGATAGAAATGTGTAATATTTTTTTTTACCTCAAAGAGATGTATCCCTTGTGCGTATTCGTTTTATACAAAACACAGCTCTGTTTATTCACCGACAGATAGTGCATGCAGTTGGATCAAGTTGTAACGATGATAGGAAATGATCTGACCGACCAGACAGCGGCACCTACCTCCGTGGAAAGTCGGTTATACGCTGTTTTATCTAAACCTAGGCTATAAATAATGTTTTATGCTTTATACTATTTTCGACGCTCAATATTAATATCATTTGCTGATAATATGATAAAAGAAATTTATGAATGTAATGACTATTTTGAAATGTAAAATGCAATCAATGCAGATTAATACATAGAATGATTGATTATTTATGTAATTTTGATGCAAACTATTAGTACAAACTGCATTCTAGTTATAATTAATTAGAAATAATTGAATATTATACCAATTATAACTTTATCAATTCAAATAATTATAATCCCAAATATTATTAATTTTATATAATCATCAATTATAGTATGTAAGCTATAATAATTAAAGAATGATTATTAGAAATTAGTTATTTATATTGTCTCCCATATGCCATGAATATTTCACACAGATGTGATACCTAAGAGCTATGAATAAATATTTAAGTTTCTCCTTTCTGAGATGAGGTCTCCTTCTATTTTCTGCTCGAGTAAATGATTATGTATTTGAACATACTATGCGGTTTCCAGCGGATTTCGCTCAGATAAATAGAGTTCGTTATAATGTCTTGGGTTCTAAATACCAAGGATAATTACCTCAAACAATTATGCTGAGACGTTAATGCGTTGTAAGAGGGTTTCTCGTTTCGTAGCTCCTTAAGCGACAAGGCGGTCCTCCTTTGCGCGCTTAACGATCTAGTAGAGTTACGACGGAGTTTAACCGCCTCTTCAGCATTATAGGTTCGTTTCCTGGTTGGAGGAACTAGACGGATAGGAGAACTTTATTGATTACGTATCGATGCCCAAAAGTTTTCGTCTGGCGTTGATGAGGTGACAACAAATCATATAGATGTCTGTGAACCAATTCACAGTATGTCTTTGATCAACTGTTCATAAATATTAAAATATTAACGTAGTATTATATCTAATGATTCTTTTATAATTATCTCAGATTTGGCATTCTAAAATAAGTTTAGCAACGTCCAGTATATTCAAGATATAATGTATATAACATAAACTCCCCTCTGACAATGTATTTTCTTAAGCTATAATAAAATACAGAATTTTTATATAATATAATATAATATACTCACATGTGTGTGTGATTATCAAAAGCATTTTTAGAAACAGATATTTACAAATAAGTAAATACATCAGAGAGCTAATTAAAAATGCTATCTCTTGAAAAAAGTGCATAAAATGTAAAATATTTTTTAGAATATAATAATCCTATGATAATCCACAATCTCATTAATTCTTTCGGTGCAGACGGGTACATATGCGGTCTGAAGAACGTTTATTACAACCGCAAAGTGCATATTTACATGCCATCCCCTAACCTATAAATCTGGCAAACCGGGCTGATAGCAACTATTTCGCATTGTTATGCTAAGTACCAAAATTAATTTCGCTTTTGTGTTTTAATGGATAATATTTTTAAATAAATTACCTGAGATAAATGATTCTGGCCTTATCAGATGTACTAGACTCTTGTTTCCATATGATACTTGTTTCCCGCGAAATTGATAATCACATCGATCCCTGATTGTATGTATCTCGAGTGATTCCGACGCAGATCGAAGTCGAC